AAATCACTTGAACCCAGGAGGCAGAGGTTGCACTGAGCTGAGATCGCGCCACTCCACTCCAGCCTGGGCAACGAGAACATAACACCGTCTCAAAAAATAAATAAAATCTGTACACAAAAGGCCACACACTATGGCTCACAACTGTAATCCCAGCACTTTGGGAGGCCAAGGCAGATGTATGACTTGAGCGCACAAGCTCAAGACAAGCCTGGCCAACATGGTGAAACAGTCTCTACTAAAAATACAAAAATCAGCCGGGCATGGTGGCCATCACCTATAATCCCAACTACTTGGGAGGCTGAGATTCTGCCACTGCAATCCAGCCTGGGAGACAGAGAGAAAACCCCATCTCAAAAAAAAAAAAAAAAGTACACAAATGTGTTTTAACAGCACTATTCAAAGTTACCAAAAAGTGAAAACAACTCAAATGTTCACCACTAATGAATGGGTAAACAAAATGCAGCACAGCCATATAATAAAATATTCAGTTATAAAAATGAATGAAGTACTGATTCATGCTACACATCATGAACTTTTTGAAGACAGTACAGTCAGTGAAAGATGCCAGGCACAAAAAGTTACATATTGTAGGATTGCTAAAATATCCAGAGCCGGCAGATGTATAGAGACAGAGAATATATGAGTGGTTTCCAGGGGCTAAGAGGGCAGGAGGGTGGGGAATGACATGTAATGAATTTCTTTTGGGGGGTGGAAATGTCCTTAAATTGGTTGCAGTGATGGCTGCAAATCTCTGTGAATATATTCAAGAATTGATGACTGTATCATATATAATACAATGTTTATGATATTCAGTAAACGTGGGGATTGAACACACTAATAATAAAGACTATACATATTAAAGTCATTATACAAACATCTTACAGACAGGCCAATCATGCACACACAAAATCAAAATATTTTAAAAAATCACATTTTTAAGTGATCAGGTTTTTACTGACAACATGAGATTCACATTAAGAAATGCTACCTATGTGTGTATCACGCACTTCATCTCCCTCTTAAAAATACTTTTTGCAGGTGAGGGTTGCAACACAGCCCAAAGCCACTCACCCCACTTCAAACTGTTAAGTGGGAAATGTACAGTAGTGCATGGAAACACTGCACGCCAGGCTGCTCCGACTAGTAATAAGCTTACTGCAATTCCAAGAGACCTCGTCGTCATCTTAGTTAAAACTCACATTCCTTGTAAGTCACTACTGAACAATTACTTTCACGGCTAACAACATTTTCGAAGAGGGATTTGGCATTATAGCATGCAAAATTCTTGCATGCTCAATTATTTCTCCAGTTTATACTCACTGAAAGACTATTTAAGGTGCTACTTCCAGGAATAAGATACAAAAGAAAAAAATAGGCAAAGCCAAGCAAACAAAACCCTGTCCTCATCAAACTTATATTCCGTTTTTTTTTTTTTTTTTTGAGACGGAGTCACGCTCTGTTGCCCAGGCTGGAGTGCAATGGCGAGATCCTGACTCACAGAAACCTCCGCCTCCCGGGTTCAAGGGACTCTCCTGCCTTAGCTCCCAAGTAGCTGGAATTATAGGCGCCTGCCACCACGCCCGGCTAATTTTGTATTTTTAGTAGCGATAGGGTTTCCCCATGTTGGTAAGGCTGGTCTTGAACTCCCGACCTCATGGGATCCACTCGCCTTGCTGCCTCGGCCTCCCACAGTGCTGGAATTACAGGTGTGAGCCACAGCTCCCAGCCCATCTTTTTCTTTTGAGTTTACAAGAAAATTTTATCTTTCCAAACTCGTCTCTTATGTATTAAATGTTAGCACTAACAAGGAATTCCCCCACAATTCTCACCTTGCAAATGTATTCTTCTCTAAATACTAAAAAACACAAAGATTTATAAAACATTAGGAGCCGCCTCCAATGACAAGCTTATTTTTGCTTTTTACCGATTTGCCAGGACCATAAAGACAAACATGCTCTAATCTACAAGTTTATTCAAAATCAGAAACCAAAACCTTTCACATTCACAAAACAAGACAGACATTAGGTTGTCAGAAGCAGATTTAACCGCCCAGGGTCTTCAAATCACTGAGGTGCCAAATGGTTTTTTGCTTTAAAAACAGAACAAAATTCAATCTCTCTCTCAAATCTGTAATTCTCAAGTCATTCAATAACCTGAATTGTGAAACAAGAAAATAGTTACCCTCAGCTCCTAAAGCAAAACTGCGATTTAGTACAAAGATCACAATTGGCAAAAAGGCAACTTTTGGAAACAAAGTCTAAATTCCTTTAAACAATTCAATAATTTAGTGGAAATTTTACTAAGTGGCCAGTGAGTCTCTTAAAATTCTTAGCTACCCTGCCCTGCTGTCAACCAGACTAGGGAAGCTAGGCATACAGCACCCAGGAAAAGCCGAACCATCCTTAAAATGCAACAGCTATCTTCCTATCTTGCATATGTAGGCAAGGTTCCTTATCTTCAGCAATTCCACTGGGCAAGATACACGGAGGTGGAAGTTAAGGCCAACTAAAGCCATTCTAAGACCAGCTTATTCCAGCTTGAGCCTTTAGATAACTATGTTTCCTACTAAAGTCAGATGTATGGAGGATAACAGAGACAGCAATACATTTTGTTTCAGGTTAGGCTTTGCCTTCTCCATTTGATCAATGGAAACCATGAGTGGTTTATCTTTCCCAGGTTCAAGTTTTTTGGGGGAAGCAGTTGGTTATCTACAACCCATCAGTGGAAAGATAATCCCCACCCAAAATGAACAGAAAGAAATGTTTTATTATACTGGCGGCCTGGCGAGGTAGCTCACGCCGGTAATCTTAACACTTTGAAAGTCTGAGGCGGAAGGCATCTGAAATCAGGAGTTCGAGACCAGCCTGACCAACATGGCGAAACCCCGTCTCTACCAAAAATACAAAAATTAGCTGGGCATGGTGGCAGGCGCCTGTAATCCAGGCACTGAGGAGGCTGAGGCAGGAGAATCGCTTGAACCGGGGAGGCAGAGGTTGCAGTGATCGCGCCACTGCACTACAGCCTGGGCGACAGACTCCCTCCATCCCACCCCCCCACCCCCGCACCGCGAAAGTATTGGCAAGGTCATAAAACAGATTGTGCCACCAAAAACCTTCCTGAAATTGAAAACACATTGATAAATCCTTTTCAATATTGCTTTCTTTACAACTTCTAAAGACTACAAATTCCTAGGAATTTGTAGGAATCTTCACAGCTCCATTCATTTAAAAAAGAAAAAAGAAAAACTCCTAACCATTATTAGAGCCTCAGAGCCACTGGCTTAGAGGTAAACTGCGACTTGGTTTTTGGAACCACGGACTGTTACAGTGCCGTCGAAGGTAAGCAAAGACATTCCAATCCTCGTGGGGCACAGATTCCTAGGGGTCACTTGCAACCAACACACACACACACACACACACACACACACACACACACAGAAATGAGCCCAATGACAAGACCAGAAACCTTACCAGGCTGCACGAAACGTAAACAAGCAAATAAAAATCTTAAAAAATCAAGCGTGGTCTTGAGCAAAAGGCAGGTCAGTCACCCAACTGAAGCACATGACTCATGCACGGGCCTGAAGTATTTACACAGTCCACTACACCAGATGGGGGTTTCCCATCTTCATGAAAGGCCAAGCCTTGGTGGCATCTCAGCCGGTGAAGGCAAGCCATTTCCGTTTGGGAGGAAGGGGATCATTTTATTTCGCTGAATCACAACTCCCCTACGTCCCCACCCCAAACCACCACCACAGCCACACACGACACTGCAAATAAAAGAGGCCGTTGCAAGGACGCCGGCGAGCACCGACGGAGCAAAACAAAGCGCCCAGCAAGGGGCCACCAGGCTGGGAGTGGGTGCGTCAGGAGGGCCAAGTTCATCCCCCCAGGGCACCGCTCCCGCCCTCTGGGGTCTGTCCTCAGACCGGCGTGAAGTGGCAATCACCTCCTTCCGGAGAGAACCTGGCCCTTTCTCCACAGGGCTCCCGGGACCACCGGGAAGGTGAGGTGATGGGGGCGGGGGCGAGGTGCCCCGGTCCAGGCAAAAGGACCTGAGTGCTAGAGTGAGAGCGCGCCGGGCCCAGCCCACGTGAGCGCCAGCGTCGGGCCCGCGCCCGCCTACGGGACCGCACACGGGGACAGCGGCGCTCGCGGGCCCCGCGCCAGGCCCGGACTTACCCGGGCCGGGCGCGCCGCAAATCCCGCGGCAGTCGCTTCCTCCTCCTCCTCCGCCTCCTCCTCCTCCTCCTCACTTGACAAAATGGCGGCGGCAGGAAGTGCCGGGCGCCTCGGCCCGCCCCCAACCCGCCCCCGGTCGCCCGCCCAGCCGCGGCGCCCGCGCCCTCAGCCCGAACCCCACCGGCCAGCCCGAGTCCGGGTCCGACGGCACCAACGGCGGGGCGGCCACGAGCGACCCCGCCGCCCTGAGGCAAGCGACGCAGGCCGTCCTGGCCCGGCGCGAGAAGCGCGGGTGGCCAGCAGGCCCGAGCCCGCGTAGCCCCAGCCTCCCCGCCCCCGCGCCGCGCCGATGGCGTAGGTGGCGGCGCACCGGCCCCATTACGCAATGCAGGTTACGCGGGCCGCGCCGCGAGCCCCCGCCGGCCGCCCCGCGCCGTCCGCCGCCCCGAACGGCACCAGTCCTCACCTGAGACGCTAGGCCGCACGCCGCCCCCGCCGGCCGTCAGCCCGCTGCCGTCGCCCGCTCCCCGGGCTGCCTGAGCGGCGCCGCGGCCCGCCCGCCGCTCTGCCGAGCTCACAGGCCGCGCTCGCCCGCGGGCACTGCCGGCAGCCGCCGTCGCCGCCGCCGCCACCGCTTCGGCTCTTCGGCTGCGGGAGAGCAGAACAAACAGCCCTGCCGCCGCCGCCGCCGCCGCCGCCGCCAGCGCACTGACGTCACCGCGCACGCTGCGCGCGCGCCTCGCGCCGCTGCCGCCGCCCGTTGTGCGCACCCCGCCCCCGTGCCCAGCGCGAACGAGCTCCGGAAAAACAGTGGCTGCGAGGTGAGTGGGGGACCCCCAGTCTGAACGATGAAGCGGGCTGGGGGAAACGCGCGGAGTGCAGACTGGGCCTGTGGGAAAGGATCTGAAGCCTGAGAGAGATCTCCAAAATACTGAGAAATGTCTGAAGACAGACCCTCACAGGGAGGGAGGACGGTGAGGAGGAACCCCAAAGACTGATGGTGGAGGCGGAGGACAGAGCCCAGTCTGAGGGAGGACTCCAGGTGGGGAGGCTGAGACGAGAGAGCTGCGATGGGGGCGCCGGGGCTGGGGTGAAATGGAGGAAAGGAGATGAGAGAAGTCTGCAAGCAAGGCCAAGACTGCCCCTGGGATCTAAAGGTGCAGCGAGGTAGCACCTTTCCTCTTTTATATCCCCCTGCTGACCTTCTTCCAATCTACCCTTTTTCTTTTTTAAAGTGACATGGTCTTGCTCTGTCCCCCAGGCTGGAGTGCAGTGGTACGATCAAAGTTAACTGCAGCCTCAAGCGATCCTCCTGCTTCAGCTTCCCAGGTAGCTGAGACTACAGGTGTGCACCACCACACCCAGCTAACTATTTTTTGTAAAGACGGGGTCTCACTATGTTGCTCCGGCTGGTCTCTGTCTCGTGGGCTCAAGTGATCCTTCTGCCTCGGCTTCCCAAAGTGCTGGGATTACAGGCATGAGCCACCACACCCTGCTCTTCCCATCCTTAAGACTCAACCCTGTGATCCCAGGAATGGTGGCTCAGGCCTGTAATCCTAGCGCTTTGGGAGGCCTAGGCAGGCAGATGGCTTGAGGCCAGGGGTTGGAGAACCTTGCCTCTACTAAAAATACAAAAATTAACCTGGTGTGGTGGTGCATGCCTGTACTCCCAGCTACTCAGGAGGCTAAGGCAGGAGAATCACTTTAACCTGGCAGGCAGAGGTTGTGCAGTGAGCCGAGATCATGCCACTGCACTCTAGCCTGGGCGACAGAGCGAGATTCTGTCTCAAAAAAAGAAAAGCCCAGCGCGGTGGCTCGCGACTGTAATCCCAGCAGTTTGGGATGCTGAGGTGGGTGGATCATGAGATCATACCAACTAATGCTATGAAACCCCATCTCTACTAAAAATAGAAAAAAATTAGCCGGGTGTGATGGTGCACCCCTATAGTCCCAGGTACTCTGGAGGCTGAGGCAGGAAAATCAATTGAACCTGGGAGGCAGAGGTTGCAGTGAGCCGAGATTGTGCCACTGCACTCTCTAGCCTGGGTGACAGATCAAGACTCTCTATTAAAAAAAAAAAAAGGCGGCCAGGTGTGGTGGCTCAAGCCTGTAATCCCAGCAGTTTGGGAGGCCGAGGCGGGTGGATCACAAGGTCAACAGATCGAGACCATCCTGGTCAACATGGTGAAATCCCATCTCTACTAAAAATACAAAAAATTAGCTGGGCATGGTGAAGCGTGCCTGTAATCCCAGCTACTCAGGAGGCTGAGGCGGGAAAATTGCTTGAACCCAGGAGGCAGAGGTTGCAGTGAGCCAAGATCTCACCATCGCACTCCAGCCTGGGTAACAAGAGCGAAACTCCGTCTCCAAAAAAAAGAGAAAAAAAAAAGGCTCAACCCGAAGTCAGCTCTCCAGGGTGTATGTGATTCCTCTACATGTGAGTCCGAGGTAAAAAAAATAATCACACAACCTCTTCTGGGGCATGCAAAGCACCCCACCTGGCCACGTGGGTCCAATAAATATGGGGTAGTTTTGAGATCCCTGAAAGGAAGAAGTTAGGCATAGGTCTCTTGCAGCTTAAAATTATTCTGTGAAGGACAGACCGTGTATATGACGCGGTCCCATAAGATTAAAATGGAACTGAGAGAAGCTGAAGATGGTCCTTTAGGAGCAGATGAGGATTGCAGCTCTCAGTGAAAGCGCAGAGGGTAAGTGGACACCGCATTTCCAGACGGATCTTTATTGCCCACAGACCAGGAGATTTCCAGGCGGAGGAGCCCCACGGGTCGCCAGCGCGGCTGTTTTGGCCGGTGCGGTGGTTCTCCGTACAAAATACACTGGTCTGGTTGCCCTTTTAAGCTGGCAGTTGGAGCTCTGAGAAGGCAGATTCACCCATTCATCTGATTAAACAGGGGTCCGAAACAGGGAGCCAGGCCAGGAGATTCCCGGGCAGCACCGTTGTTTCAGCTGGCACAGGGGGTCGCCACATGGGAAATCACACAGATCCCGGTGCCCTTTCAGCAGGCGACTGGAACACTTGGGAGAGAGTCAACCGTTCAACTTAAAAAAAAAAAAAAAAAAAAAGGCTCCGAGGCAGGGAGCCAGGTGATCAGACTTGGTGGGTCCCACCCCCACAAAAACAAAAACACAAAAAAATTATTCTGTGAAATTTTTCAAATCTGGAAATGTAACCACTTCTCCTTCCTTTTACATATATATAATCCTGTCTCTATCTCTCTCTCTCTCCGCCCCCTGCCCCGCCATATGGAGGGAGAGAGAGACAGGGACAGGATCTTGCTCTGTCACCCAGGCTGGAGTGCAGGCCAAATCATAGCTCACTGTAACCTCAAACTCTCACTCTCAAGTGATCTTCCCACCTCAGCCTCCAGAATAGCTGGGACCACAGGCATGTGCCACCATGCCCAGCTAATTTTTGTATTTTTGTAGAGAGGAGGTCTCACCATGTTGCCCTGGCTGGTCTTGAACTACTGGGCTCAAGCAATCCACCTCCCTCAGCCTCCCAAAGTTGCTGGGACACAGGTGTGAGCTACCACACCCAGCCCACTCACTTAATTCTCATCTTTTAAAAATGGAAAGCAGGCTGGATAAGGTGGCTCATGCCTATAATCCCAGTGCTTTGGAAGGCCAAGGCGAGTGGATCACTTTAGTAGGTCAGGAGGTTGAGACCAGCCTGGCTAACATGGTGAAACCTTGGCTCTACTAAAAATACAAAAATTAAGCCAGGCGCAATGGCTCACGCCTGTAATCCCAGCACTTTGGGAGGCTGAGGCAGGCAGATCCCCTGAGGTTGGGAGTTTGAGACCAGCCTGACCAACTTGGAGAAACCCCATCTCTACTAAAAATATAAAATTAGCCAGGTGTGGTGGTGCATGCCTGTAATCCCAGCTACTTGGGAGGCTGAGGCAGGAGAAGTTCTTGAACCCGGGAAGTGGAGGTTGTGGTATGTCAAGATCGCACCATTGCACTGCAGCCTGGGCAACAAGAGCAAAACTCCATCTCAAAAAAAAAAAAAAAAAATAGGCAGGTGTGGTGGCAGGCACTAGTAATCTCAGAAACTCAGGAGACTAAGGCAGAAGTCACTTGAACCTGGGAGGTGGAGGTTGCAGTGACCCAAGATTGCGCCACTGCACATCAACCTGGGCAATGGAGTGAGACTCTGTTTCAAAAAAAAAAAAAAAAAAGGCCAGGCACGGTGGCTCATGCCTGTAATCCCAGCACTTTGGGAGGCCAAGGCAGGTGGATTACCTGAGGTCAGGAATTTGAGACCAGCCTGGCCAACATGGTGAAAACCCATCTCTACCAAAAAGACCAAAAATACCAAAAAAATTAGCCGGACGTGGTGTTGCATGCCTGTAATCCCAGCTACTCTGGAGGTTGAGAATTAGATCAACGTGGGAGGCGGAGGTTGCAGTGAGCGGAGATCATGCCACTGCACTCCAGCCTGGGTGACAAGGTGAAACACTGTCTCAAAAAAAAAAACAGTCTACATGGTATTTTCTTTTTTCAAGTCCAAGTAATGAAACATTTCCTTATGGCCCCTGGTTTCAGAATATATTGATACAATAGGATACCAGTAAAATAGTTTCTTTTTTTTTTTTTGTCACCCAGTCTGGAGTACAGTTGTGCAATCACAGCTCACTACAACCTCCGGCCTCCCAGGTTCAAGCAATTCTCCTGTCAGCCTCCTGAGTAGCTGGGACCACAGGCACATGCCACCACACCCAGCTAATTTTTGTATTTTTAGTAGAGACAGGGTTTCACCATATTGGCCAAGATGGTCTCCATCTCTTGACCTCGTGCCCTCCTGCCTTGGCCTCCCAAAGTGCTGGGATTACAGATGTGAACCACTGCCCCCAGCCAAATTGTTTCTTTTCTATCATGTGTTTGCTCATGTTTAACCAGAGATAATCATAAATCACTAATGGGTCCTAAGCAAAGTTAAAAATTAAATTTTTTTCATTCATTCATTTATCTATTTATTAATTTATTCATTTATGACAGGGTCTTGCTCTGTTGCCCAGGCTCAAGTACAGTGTTGCATTCATGGTTCACTACAGCCTTGACCTTCTGGGCTCATGCGATCCTCCCACCTCAGCCTCCCAAGTAGCTGGGACTATAGTCATGTGCCACCACACCCAGCTAATGTTTTAAATTTTTTGCAATTGGCTGGGTGCAGAGGCTCACACCTGTAATCCCAGTACTTTGGGAAGCTGAGGCGGGTGGCTCACTTGAGGTCAGGAGTTTGAGACTAGCTTAGCCAACATGGTGAAACCCCATCTCTACTAAAAATACAAAAGTTAGAAAAAAAAAATTAGAGCCCAGGCATGATGGCTCACGCTTATAATCCCAGCACTTTGGGAGGCCAAGGCAGGTGCATCACCTGAGATGAGGAGTTCAAGACCAGCCTGGCCAACATGGTGAAACCCCATCTCTACTAAAAAATTAGCCGGGTACAGTAGCAGTTGCCTGTAATCCCAGCTACTCTGGAGGCTGAGGCAAGAAAATCACTTGAACCTGGGAGGCAGAGGTTGCAGTGAGTGGAGATTGCGCCATTGCACTCCAGCCTGGGCAACAACAGCGAAACTCCATTTCAAAAACAAAAAAAAATTAGCTGGGCATGGTGGTACACACCTGTAATCCCAGTTACTTGGGAGGCTGAGGGAGGAGAATCGCTTGAGCCCAAGAGGTGGAGGTTGCAGTGAGCCAAGATTGAACCACTGCACTCCCACCTGGCTGACAGAGCAAGACTCTGTCTCAAAAAAAAAAAAAAAAAAAATTGTAGTCATAAGGTCTCACTATGTTGGCCAAGCTGATCTCAAACTTTGGCCTCAAGTGATTTTCCCTTCTTGGCCTAACCCTTTATCTAACAAAGCATGAGAAAACAAATTATTACCTGTAAGAAATAAAGGATGTAATTGTAACTCGTTCATTGACACTTCCTTCTAACTCTGTATTACAGAATATTGAAATTTGTGAATATCTTCTGGCCCCTAATTTTGCACCCCTGGCAATTATGCAGAAGATGATCAGAAATGGAAAAAAGAACAGGAAGGCATCCAGGGCTGTTTGAATAGGTATTAACAACTAGTTTGTTGTTACTGGGGTTTTTGTTTGTTTTTTTAAGGAAACCAGAATGTATCCATTTTAAGCTGTCCTTCCTTGTAGTTACCTTGTCTCATTGCATTATCCACTTAATTTATCATTGTTGCTGACAATTAATGTTTTTGGAAGTAATTTGGAGCTGCTGCTTTACAAGTCACATAATAAAACCTGTCACTCTAGAGTCACAATTTTAGACAAAATTACATATCCAGGTTGATAACTAGACCCAGCTAGATGGCTTTTGGCCATTGCTACAGATTAAATCCAGCCTGGAGAGAATATTCAAGCAGTAAAGGCACTTCCAAAAGCTGTCTCCAGAAATCTTTTAGGACGACAATGTCTCATTCTTTTTGTCTTCCATAGTGCTTAGCCTAACTCCACAAAGATAGCTCCAATGTTTATCTGGTTGAGTCACTTTAACAAAAATAGTCCTGTTACTTCATGGTTCACATGTTATTTATTTCTTTATTTATGAGACAGAGTCCCGCTCTGTTGCCCAGGCTGGAGTGCAGTGGCCCAATATTGGCTTACAGCAACCTCCGCCTGCCAGGTTCAAGAGATTCTCGTGCCTCAGCCTCCCAAGTAGCTGGAATTACTGGCATGTGCCACCACGCCCAGCTAATTGTTTAGTACTTTTAGTAGAGATGGGGTTTTGTGGTGTTGGCCAGGCTGGTCTCGAACTCCTGGCCTCAGTGATCCACCTCGGCCTCCCAAAGTGCTGGGATTACAGGCGTGAGCCACTGCATTCGGCTTATTTATTAGGTTATAAAGACAAGATCTCATTCTGTCAGCCATGCTGGAGTGCAGCAGCATGATCACAGTTCCGTGTACCCTTGCCCTCCTCTACTCAAGCAATTCTCCCTGTTGTACCTGAGCGAGTCAAGGAATGCACCACACTCTGAGAATGATTTATGAGTCCTTTATTAAGTTGGCGACCGAGAGTGGCTAATGCCCAAGATTCTCTCGGCCCCGAAGAAAAAGTTAGGTGGTCTTTAATACACTAGTTTTACCAGGAAGAGGGGAACCTAGCTGAAACAAAGTTTTAACACAGGCAGAGTAAACAAAAAGTTAAAAAGAAAAACTGATATATAAGAAATAAAACAGTGCCAGGCGTGAGGAGTACAGCTGTCATGAAAGACATACAACTTATAGATAAGGCGGGCTCTGGACACTCACTGCAGCTGCATTTCCAGGCTTTGCTGATATCACTTTACTCGGCCTCTTATCAACAAAGCCATTTCTGGGTGCCCAGAGTCCGTCTGACCTTGCTTTATACTATTAGTTCCATACTTAATGGGGAGAAGATTCCTAAAATGAAGAAGCCAAGATGGAGTATGTTCAGCTCAAAAAGGCTCACATAGAGCCTGAACAGCTTTTAGTCAGGGAAAAGGAGAGTTAGTTTTAGCTGGCAAAAAGCAGGGTATCACATCCCACCTCACGCTCCTCAGTACATAGGACTATACCCATGGCCCACCACACTTTGCTGTTTTTTGAAATTTCTTCCTTTTTTTTTTTTTTTTTTTTTTTTGTACCGGTAAGATTTCGCTATGTTGCCCAAGCTAGAATGCAGTGGCTATTCACAGGCACAATCACAGCTGACTACAGCCTTGAACTCCTGGGCCCCAGAAATCCTCCTACCTCAGCTTCCTTAGTCGCTGGACTTATAGCTGCCTGCCCGGCTTAGATTTTTATTCTGTGCATCAGTGTGTAGAAATAGTTGTGTTATTTAAACAAAAGGGATTATCCTATATCTGCTGCTGTTTGCGTGTTTGTTTGTTTTTAGACAGGGTCTTGCTCTGTCACCCAGGCTGGAGTGCAGTGGTGTGATCTCAGCTTACTGCAACCTCTGCCTCCCGGCTTCAAGCGATTCTTGTGCCCAGCCTCCCAAACGTATTTTTTCTTTTTCTTTTCTTTTTTTTTAATTACCTTATTAGACTCAATGTTCATTGGTGGCATAGCATCCCAACTATCCAGGACTATAGATACACACCACCACACCTGGCTAATTGTTATACTTTTACTAAAGACAGGGTTTCGCCATGTTGACCAGACTGGTCTCAAACTCCTGGCCTCAAGTGATCCGCCTGCGTCGGCCTCCCAAAGTGCTGGGATTACAGGCATGAGCCACTGCACCCGTCCATCTTTTTAAATTTAATACATATAGCCCAGAACTCCTAGATCCTCCCAGTCTACCTCAGCATACCAAGTAGCTGGGACTACAGGTGCATGCCACTGTACCTGGCTGGAAGTCATTTCCCATGAATACTTGGAGATCTGCCTTATTGGAAATGATGTCAAGATCATATACAGTATGTTATCATAGTATGACATATCTATCTCAGATAACATGGTGGCTCAGCTGAGATTGTGCCATTATACTCCAGCCTGGGCAAAAAGAGTGAAATTCTGTCCCCCCGCCCCCCAAAATAAAAAAAATCCCAGCACTTTGGGAGGCTGAGGCAGGTGGATCATTTGAGGTCAGGAATTTGAGGCCAACCTGGCCAACATTGTGAAACCCCCTCTCTACTAAAAAAATATAAAAATTGGTCAGGTACAGTGACTGACACCTGTAATCCTTGTACTTCAAGAGGCTAAGGTGGGTGGATCACAAGGTCAGGAGTTTGCGACCAGCCTGGCCAATATGGTGAAACATCATCTGTACTAAAAACTAGCTGGGTGTGGTGGTGTGCACTTATAGTCCCCGCTACTCAGGAGGCTGAAGCATGAGAATCGCTTGAACCCAGGAGGTGGAGGTTGCAGTCAGCCGAGATTGTACCACTGCACTCCAGCCTGGGGAATAGATGGAGACTGTGTCTCAAAAAAAAAAAAAAAAAAATTACAAAAATTAGCCAAGTGTGGTGGCACACACCTGTAGTTCCAGCTACTCTGGAAGCTAAGGCACGAGAATTGGTTGAACCCAGGAGATGAAGGTTGCAATGAGCCGAGATTGTGCCACTGCACTCTAGCCTGGGTGATAAAGCAAGATTCTGTCTCAAAAACAACAACAACAAAAACTAAATTAAACTGAAAAAGGAAGGGAAAAGAAAACCTGGAGTTGTCCCTTTGACTACATACATGTAGATCTGTAAGAAAATAAGGTAGATATCCAGGGAATGGGGGAATGGGTACTGTTGAAAAAGGAATGTCCCACGAGTGTTATCATGGCAAAACTGGAGTAGTCTACAGTATTACCCAGCATGCTGTTGGCATTGTTGTAAGCGAACAAGTTAAGGGCAAGATTCTTGCCAAGAGAATTCATGTACATACTGACTACATTAGTAACCCTAAGAGCTGAGACAGCTTCAAAAGGCCTGAAGGAAAATGATCAGAAAAAGAAGGAAGCCAAAGAGAAAGGTACCTAGGTTCAACAGAAGTGCTAGCCTGCTTCACTCAGAGAAGCACACTTTGTGATAACCAGTGGAAGGGAGCCTGAGCCGCCCAAACCTATTCCCTGTTAATTCATGGCTTAATAGATGTGAAAAAACAAAAATAGTCCAGGCATGGTGGCTCGTGCCTGTAATCCCAGCACTTTGGGAGGCCAAGGCAGGCAGATCATGAGGTCAAGAGTTTGAGACCAGCCTGACCAACATGGTGAAACCCATCTCTACTAAAAATACAAAAAAATGGCTGGGCATGGTGGCGAGCTGCAGTAATCCCAGCTACTCAGGAGGCTGAGGCAGAATCACTTGAACCAAGGAGGCAGAGGTTGCAGTGAGCTGAGATTACGCTATTGCACTCCAGCCTGGGTGACAGAGTGAGACTCCATCTCAAAAAAAAAAAAAAAGAAAGAAAAGGAAAAGCAAGGATTAATATATATAGCATGGTCAGCTTTGAAAATGCCAGAGAGGCCAGATGTGGTAGCTCACTCCTGTAAAGCCAGCACTTTGGAAGGCTGAGGTGGGTGGATCACTTGAATCCAGGAGTTTGAGACCAGCCTGGCCAACATGGCTAAATGCCATCTCTACAGAAAATACAAAAGAAATTAGCTAGGTATTGTGGCACATGCCTGTCATCCCAGGGATGCTGGGGCGGGAGGATCACCAGAATCTGGGAGGCAGACATTGCAGTGAGCCGAGACTGAGCTGCCTTCACTCCAATCTGGGCGACAGAGTAAGACCCTGTCTCCAAAAAGAAAAAAGAGGCTGGGCTCAGTGGCTCACACCTGTAATCGCAGTACTTTGGAATCCTCCAACTGAGGCAGGGGGATTACTTGGGGTCAGGAGTTTAAGACCAGCCTAGCCAACATAGTGAAACCCCATCTCTACAAAAAAAAGTAAAGAATTAGGCCACATATGGTAGCACACTGGTAGTCCCAGCTATTCAGGAGGCTGAGGTAGAAGTATCACTTGAGCCCAAGAGTTTGAGGTTGCAGTGAGTTATGATTATGCTACTACCCTCAAGACTGGGTGACAGAGTGTGACCCCTATTTTTTTTTTTTTAGACATAGTTTCACTCTTGTTACCCAGGCTGGAATGTAATGGCGTAATCTCGCCTAGGCATAATCTCGGCTCGCAATCTTTGCCTCCAGGTCCAAGCGATTCTCCTGCCTCACCCTCCTAAGCAGCTGGGATTACCAGTGTCCACCACCACTGGTAATCCCAAATACTTGCTTATTTTTCCTTACAGTTTTACTTCCCTAAAATAAACTTATAGTCTGTTTTTGTCTGCTTTGGAAATCTACATAAAAATGAGATAATTAGGTAGACACACTGGCATTGCTTGTTTTACATTCTGTAGTTTGTAAGAATCATCCAGCCTGGCCAACATGGTGAGATTCGTCTCTATCAAAAAAATTTGCTGGTCATGATGGCACATGCCTATGGTCCCAGACACTTGGGAGGATCACTTGAGTCTGGAAGGTCAAGGCTGCAGTGAGCTATGATTGCACTACTGTACTCCAGCCAGGACAACTGAGAAACACCCCGTCTCAAAAAAAAAAAAAAAAAAAAAAAAGAATCATCATCTACATTCGTGTGTGTGTGTGTGTGTGTGAGGGAGGGGGGCTGTGGCTTGTGCATTTTCTTTTCATTTCTTTCTTTCTTTTTTCAAGAGATAGGGGAAGGCCAGGCACAATGGTTTACACCTGTAAACCCAGCAGTTTGGGAGGCCGAGGAGGGCAGATCACCTGAGGTCGGGAGTTGGAGATCAGCCTGACCAACATGGAGAAACTCCATCTCTATTAAAAATACAAAATTAGCAGGGTGTGGTGGCACATACCTGTAATTCCAGCTACTTGGGAGGTTGAGGCAGGAGAATTGCTTGAACACTGGAGGCAGAGGTTGTGGTGAGCCAAGATCGCACCACTGCATTCCAGCCTGGGCAACAGTAATGAAACTCATCTAAAGAAAAAAAGAAATGACCAGACACTATGTCTCAAGCCTATAATCCCAGCACTTTGGGAGGCTGAGGTGGAAGGATCTCTTGAGCCCAGGAGTTCAGAACCATCCTGGGCAACATGGTGAAACTCCATCTCTACAAAAAATGGAAAAATAGCTTGGTGTGATGGCATGCAGCTGTAGTTTTAGCTACCTGGAGGCTGAAGCAGGAGAACATAAGCCCAGAAGTTTGAGGCTACAGTGAACTACCATTGCATCATTGCACTCCAGCCTGGGTGACACAGCAAGAAAGACCCTGTCCCCAAAAATATGTCCACTAGTCATCTGGGCACAGTGGCTCACCCCCATAATCTCTGCTGGATGGGGTGGCTCACGCCTGTAATCCCACCCAGCACTTTCAAAGGCCAAGGTGGGCGGATCGCCTGAGGTCACGAGTTGGAGACCATCCTGGCCATCATGGTAAAACCCTGTCTCTACTAAAAATACAAAAATTAGCCGGGCTTGGTGGCTGGCGCCTGTTATCCCAACCCCTCTGGAGGCTGAGGCAGGAAAATCAGTTGAACGAGGGAGGTGGAGGTTGCAGTGAGCTGAGATTGTGCCATTGCACTCCATCCTGGAAGACAAGAGTGAGACTTCATCTAAAAAAGAAACAACAAATTCTCAGGCAGACCCCCTGAGTACAAAAAAATTTTTTAATTTAAAATTTTTTAAATGGGCGGGGCTCAGTGGCTCACACTTGTAATTCCAGCACCTTGGGAGGTCGAGGCAGGTGGATCACTCCATCTCTTTTCCTTTTTTTTCTTCACTTAATATGCCTACAGATCTCAGAAAAAAACAAACAAAAAACCTTAAGGGACACAGAATAATCAAAACAATCTTGAAAAAGAGGAACAAAGTTGGAGGAGTCATACTTCCTTACTTTATTTATTCATGTATTTATTGCTATTGCAATGGAGTCTCACCCTGTCACCCAGGCTGGAGTGCAGTGGTGCGATCTCAGCTCACTGCAACCTCTGCCTCCCAGGTTCAAGTGATCGTTCTGCCTCAGCCTCCTGAGTAGCCAGGATTACAGGCATGCACCACCATACCGAGCTAATTTTGTATTTTTAGGGGAGATGGGGTTTTGCCATGTTGGCCAGGCGGGTCTTAAACCCCCGTCGACCTCAGGTGATCTGCCCACCTCAGCCTCCCAAAGTGTTGGGATTACAGGTATGAGTCACTGTACCCGGCCTTGTATTTATTCATCTATTTATTTTTCTTGAGTAGGGTCTGTGTCACCCAGGCTAGAGTGCAGTGGTGTGATCTCAGTTCACTGCAACCTCCACCTTCCAGGCTCAGGTGATCCCCCTATCCCAGCCTCGCCTCTTCACTAACTGGGACTTCAGACAAGTGCCACCATGCCCAGCAAATTTTTTGTATTTTTGGTAGAGAATAGGTTTCATCATGTTGCTCAGGCTGATCTCCCAACTCCTGAGCTCAGGTGATCCACCTGCCTCAGCCTCCCAAAGTGCTGGGATTACTGGCATGAGCCACTGTGCCTGGCCCACTGTTGTATTTGAGTGAGTTAAGGAATGTGTTACATTTTGAGATTGAATTAATGAGTTTTTTATTATGTCAGTGACTGAGAGGTGGCTAATGCTTAAAATTTTCTCAGCCCTTAAGATTAAGTTAGGTGGTCTTTTATACTGTAGTTTTGAAGGGGAGGGGGAACCTAGCTGAAGCAAATTTTTCATAAAAGCAGAGTAAATAAAAAAGTTAAAAGATAAACTGGTACATGAGAAATAAAACAGTGCCAGGTGTGAGGGGGTAACGTTGTCATGAAAGACATTCAACTTGCAAATAATGGGGGCTCTGCGCGCTCGACAGCACCTGCATTCCCAGGCTCTGCTGGTACTTAACCCGGCCTCTTATCAACAAATGCATTCCTGGAGGTGCCCGGTGTCAGCCTGCCCCAGCTACATACTATAGTTACATACTGAATGGTGGGAAAATAACTAATATGAAGCTAAGATGGAGTCTGTGCAGCTCAAGAAGCTAACATAAGGCCTGAACAGCTTTTAGTCTGAGAAACAGAGTTAGTTTTAGCTTAGCAAAAAGCAGGTTGTCACACCACTTCCAGTTGGTTTTTCTTGTTTTTTTTTGAGACAGAGTCTCACTCTGTTACCTAGCTGGAGTGTAGTGGCGCCATCTCAGTTTGCTGCAACCCCCGCCTCCCAAGTTCAGGCAATTCTCCTGCCTCAGCCTCCCGAGTAGCTGGGACTACAGGCGCGTGCCACCATGCCTGGCTAATTTTTTGTATTTTTAGTAGAGACAGGGTTTCACCATGTTAGCCAGGATGGTCTCGAGCTCCTGACCTGGTGATCCACCTGCCTCAGCCTCCCAAAGTGCTGGGATTACAGGTGTGAGCTACTGCACCAGCCTTTTTTTTTTTTTGAGGCAGAGTGTTACTTTGTCACTCAAGCTGGAGTGCAGTGGCACAATCTCAGCTCACTGCAACCTCCACCTCCTGGGCTCAAACAACCCTCCCACCTTAGCCTCCCACGTAGCTAGCTGGGATTACAGGAGTGTACCATCATTACAGGAGTGTAGTTTATTTTTTTTGAGACGGAGTTTCAGTCTTGTTGCCCAGGCTGGAGTGCAGTGTTGCGATCTCGGCTCACTGCAACCTCTGCCTCCCTCCTGGGTTCAAGCGATTCTCCTGCCTCAGCCTCCAGATAGCTGGGATTACAGGTGTGTGCCACCACACACAGATAATTTTTTGTATTTTTTTTTTTAGACAGAGTCTCACTCTGTCGCCAGGCTGGAGTACACTGGCACGATCTTGGCTCACTGCAGCCTCTGCCTCCTGGATTCATGCAATTCTCCTGCCTCAACCTCCTGGGTAGCTGGGACTACAGGGGCACGCCACCAAGCCCAGCTAATTTCTTTTGTATTTTTAGTATATTTAGTTTCACCATGTTGGCCAGGATGGTCTCGATCTCTTGACCTCATGATCTGCCTGCCTTGGCCTCCCAAAGTGCTGGGATTACAGGCTTGAGCCACTGCACCCAGCCAATTTTTTGTATTTTTAGTAGAGACCAGGTTTCACCATGTTGACCAGGCTGTTCTCGAACTCCTGACCTCAGGTGATCTGCCCACCTCGGCCTCCCAAAGTCATGGGATTACAGGCTTGAGCCACTGCTCCCAGCCTGTCCAGATAATTTTTATATTTTTAGTAGAGATGGAGTTTCACCATCTTAGTCATGCTGGTCTCCAACTCTTGGCCTTAAGTGTCCGCCTGTCTCAGTCTCCCAAAGTGTTGGGATTACAGGCATGAGCCACTGCCTGATTTTAAATCTTACTTCAAAGCACAGTGACATAAGGATAGATAGGTAGAACAATAGAGTAGAGCTGACGGTCCAAAAGTAAACAATGTAGTTATAGTCAACTGACTTGACAAGGGTGTCAAGACCATTCAGTGGGGAAAGAACAGTCTCTTCAACAAGTAAGTTTAGACAACGGGATAAGCCACATGGAGTAGAGTGAAGTTGGATCCTTATACCTTACACGTATATAAAAATTAACTTGGCAAGGGGCAGTGGCTCACACCTGTAATCCCAGCACTTTGGGAGGCCAAGGTGGGAGGATCATAATGAAACCCCATCTCTAGTAAAAACACAAAAAGTAGCCAGACATGGTGGCACAGTTCTGTAGTCCCTACTACTGGGGAGGCTGAGGCAGAATTACTTGAAGCTAGGAGGTGGAGGTTGTAGTGAGCCCAGATTGCACCACTGCACTCCACCTTGGGTATCAGAGTGGGATTCTATCTCAAAAAAAAAAAAAAAAAAAAAAACTTGAAATGAACTACAGATCTCAGTATGAGCTAAAACTATTAAATTATTAGAATAAAACATAGAGGTAAAATTTTTTTGAGACAGGATCTTGTTCTGTTTCCCAGGCTGGAGTGCAGGGGTACAATCTTGGCTCACTGCAGCCTCTGCCTCCCAGGTTCAAGCAATTCTTCTGCCTCACCCTCTTGAGTAGCTGAGATTACAGGTGCGCCACCACGACCTGCTGTTGTATTTTTAGTAGAGACAGGGTTACACCATATTGGCCAGGAATAGACTCTATCTCCTGAACTCATGATCCGCTCATCTCAGCCTCCGAAAATGCTGAGGTGGGTGGATTGCTTGACCCTGAGAGGGGAGGTTGTAGTGAGCTGAGATGGCGCCACTGACCTGCAACCTGGGTGAGAGAGACTCCATGTCAGAAAAATAAAAATTAAAGGCCAGGCGCCGTGGCTCAAGCCTATAATTCCAGCACTTTGGGAGGCCGGACAGGTGGATCATGAGGTCAGGAGTTTGAGACCAGCTTGACCAATATGGTGAAACCCCATCTGTACTAAAAATACAAAAATTAGCCAGGTGTGGTGGCGTATGCCTGTAATCCCAGGTACTCAGGAAGCTGAGGCAGGAGAATCACTTTAACTTGGGAGACGGAGGTTGCAGTGAGCCGAGATTGCGCCACTGCACTCCAGCCTGGGCTATAGAGTGAGACTCCATTTCAAAAAAAAAAAAGAAAAATTTAAAAAAAGCTGCCTATAGAATGTACCTGGCCATTGGTGTGTCACAGACCTGCATGTTATTTTGGGGAGCCCATCTTTGCTGTGTGACCCTGAAGGTAACTAATCTCCCAGTCCGGTTTCCTCTCTGCAAATGGGAGAAGTAACTGATAAATATTAGTTCTCCTCCTTTAAATAAACTTGCAATTTCTGTCAGTTTTGGAAAACGTAAGAGCACTCCATTTGTGTAATACAAGTATTCCTCATCTTAGGAAATGAGGGCCTGGTTTAACCCTAATTGTGGGACTAAAGTAATGCATGAAGGTTGGGCACAGGTGTAGTCTTAGCTACTTCAGGAGGCTGAAGCAGGAGGATTTCTTGAAGCCAGGAGTTCAAGACCAGCCTCTACAAAACTTTTTTTTTGTTTGAGGTGGAGTCTTGCTCTGTTGCCCAGGCTGGAGTGCAGTGGTGCCATCTCAGCCCACTGCAACCTCCGCTTCCTGAGTAGCTGGAATTACAGGCATGTGCCACCACCATGCGTGGATAATTTTTGTCTTTTTAGTAGAGACAGGTTTCATGATGTTCGCCAGGCTGTTCTCAAACTCCTGACTTCAGGTAATCCAACAGCCTTGGCCTCCCAAAGTGCTGGGATTATAGGAGTGAGCCACCATGCCTAGCCCCACAATGAGACTTTTAAAAATTAGCTGGGCATGGTGGTGCCCTCCTGTAGTCCCAGCTAATCAGGAGGCTGAGGTGGAAGGATTGATTGAAACCAGGATTTGGAGGCTGCAGTGAGTTACAGTGGTGCCACTGCACTCCAGCCTGGGCAACACAGTGAGACCCTGCCTGTAAAAATTTTAAAAAGCAATTATGTAGTTTCACAAGAGATGGAAGGTGGAAGAGTCTCACTGACATTCAGATTAATGTAATCTGAATTGGATTGATATTTATTTTTTTGAGACAACATCTTGCTCTGTCACCCAGGCTGGAGTGCAGTAGTGCAACCTTGACTCACTGCACCTTCTGCCTCCCTGGTTCAACTGCCTCAGCCTCCCCAGTAGCTGCTATTACAGATGTGTACCACCACATCTGGCTGATTTTTGGTGTAGACAGGGTTTTGCCATGTTGACCAGGCTGGTCTCAAACTCCTGACCTCAAGTGATCCACCTGCCTTGACCTCCTCAAGTGCCGGGAATACAGGTGTGAGCCACCACAACTGGCCAGGTCTTGGATTTTTAGGCGGGGGGAAAAAAGGGTGGTTGGGTGGGTGGGCTGGTACAGTTCACGCCTGTAATCCCAGCACTTTGGGAGGCTGAGGCCGGCTGATCACCTGAGGTCAGGTGTTCAAGACCAGCCTGGCCAACATGGTGAAACCTGTCTGTACCGGCATGGTGGTGGGTGCATGTAATCCCAGCCACTTGGGAGGCTGAGGCAAGAGAATCACTTGAACCTGGGAGGTGGAGGTTGCAGTAAGCCAAGACTGTGCTACTGCACTCCAGCCTGGACAACAGTGAGAGATTCTTTCTCCAAAAAAAAAAAAAAAAAATAGGGAAAATAAAATTAAGGAAATAAATCAGTTCCACTACTGTTTTTGTACTACTGATGTTGAATGCTACTAACATGTTTGCTTTAACAGAACAAGCTTTTTAAAAATTTTTTTTATTTTTATTTTTTGAGAGACAGTCTTACTCTGTTGCCCAGGTTAGAGTGCAGTGTGCAATCTCAGCTTACTGCAAACTCCACCTTCCAGGTTTGAGCGATTCTCTTGCTTCAGCCTCCTGGGTATCTAGGACTACAGTTGCATATCATGGCGCCCAGCTAATTTTTGTATTTTTAGTAGAGACAGGTCACCATGTTGGCCAGACTGGTCCCTAACTCCTGACCTCAAGTGATCCACCCGCCTCGGCCTCCCAAACTGCTGGGCTTACAAGCGTGAGCCACCTCGCCCAGCCAAGAGAACAAGTGTAAAGGGCACGTTCAGCCTGTGAAGAAGGCACATCTATGTAACGTGAACAGATGCTGAGCAGAAATGACCCAGAGGCATCATCGTCTCATCAAGCAGTTTATTTCCATTTTTAGTTCTAATGTTGACTTCTTCATATTCACCCAGGATCTCCACTAAGGCTCCTCATGAACAGGGCCTAATTCTTAGAATGTGTATCGTGTTAGCCCCTGGTATATAGTAGAGAATCGCCAAGTTATTTTATTGTCTCCTTTCCTAATGATTCCCCAGTGGCCCATGTTTCCCAACATGTGAGATGTATACAGTTCAAAAAGCCACAGGGAAACTGACACAGCACAACCATTTCAAAAGGGATCTTCAGACTCTTCTGATTTTAGGAAATTCTGTGTTAACTTTGAACACATGCTAGCCTCCCTTTCTCAGATTCAGAAAGGTCTAAAGTAACAGCTATTTCTCTAAAGTGAAACATGTATTTCATTATATTATTTTGTAATAGATACCTTCTATCTATGGCAGTTTATGTTGGATTATTCCATCTATGGGAATCACATCAAGTTTTCTTGCCGAGATGGGGTCTTGGTATGTTGTCCAGGTTGGTCTCGAACTCCTAGGCTTAAGCTATCCTCCTGTCTCAGGCTCCTAAACTGCTGGGAATATAGGCATATGCCACCACGTCGCACCAAATTTTCTTTCTAAATGCATTTGAGTGGGAGTAACTCATTTTAAAGGAAAAAACCTGAACTAATCTAGAGGTAGAACACAAATGAGGTAAAACATGAGAGAAGCAATGCCATGAGACTAACCGTTGGAAACAGTGCCCTCTGCAGTCTGGCTCTTGAGGGTGAGGTGGATCAGATTCTTCTGGCCCCTGCACGCGTGGATGTGACATAGGCAGTGCCATATGGAACCAGGTGCTGTCGAGTCTTGTAAAGGTCACTCATCAGAGGGCTACAAAGATACATGTTAAAGGCTGAAGTTTGAAATGTAAAAAACAAAGATCCTCTATAGAGCAAGGTATATTCCTAGTGTTGAGCTGTTCCCAACCAAAAAAAAGAAAAAAATTAAGGACAAAAATAAAAAAGGGGGCATTCAGTCAGTGGTTGAATTGAATAAGCAAAGTATCATCAAGCTGTAATCACTCAACCTTTATTATTCCAAGTGCAGTGTCAAGAGAAACGTTTCAGCCACTAAGGAAAAGGTACTGCTGCAGCTCTCAAATGCAGGCAAGAAGCCACATGACTACATGAGACAAGCCGAGGGGCTCTGCCCAGGAGGAAATGGCTGGATCTCTTCACCAAAATCAGTTTACAGTGTATCCTGGTAGCACACACCCTTGTACTGCTTACAAACCAAGGGAGAAAGAGCAACGTGTTGATCATACAACACCTCCCCTGGGACAGGGAAATGAGCATCATTCTGTGACAACAGCATCTTTGGACTCTGCATCAGTTTGTTCTGCTCTGGTATCCGTGGCAGCTGGGGCAGGAGCAGCTCTGGTTTCGGCACGTTCTCCCTCTGCTGCCATTGTCTCGGTACCACTTCCCGCCTCCACGATACCCTTCTCAGATGCTATTCCGTAGGACACCTGCTCTTCCAGGGGCTGTTCAGCTTCAGGATCACTACTGGCCTCTGCTATGTCCACGGGGCCTTTGCCCTCAGCTGGCGCTCCTTCCCCGTCGACTGCCCTCACTGCTGCCGTGATCACCTCAGCTAAGACGTCCGTGGCCACCTCCTCAGGTGTCTCTTTCTTATCCTCACCTTCTAAATTGTCATCTCCTTCCATTTCTGGATCAACAGTTTCATTGGTGAAAGGGTCCTCACCCTGGCCAAAGAGAAACACACATCAGTGCAGCAGAACTCAGGAGGCCTACGAATGCTGGGATGTCAGCTTTGCAGAACCAGCAGAGTCCACAAGAGAAACACTTCCATAAACAACACCATGGGAGTTAAACCTACAGGTGCTCGGAGCCTACGGATTCAGAAAAGACCTCACTAGACATTCTGCTATTTTTTTAAGTTGGACTCTCACTCTGTCTCCTAGGCTGGCTGGACTACAGTGGTATGATCTTGGCTCACTGCAACCTCCACCTCCTGGGTTTGAGTGATGATGCTCCTGCCTCAGCCTCCCAAGTAATGGGTTTATACACATGCGCCACCATGCCTAATTTTTGTATTTTTAGTAGAAATGGGGTTTCCGCCCCCCTTGGTGTCTCAAAGTGCTGGAATTAGGCACGAACCACTGCGCCAGGCACATTCTGCAGAAAAGTTCACAAGACCTAAGATTTCTTAACTTGATTTTTTTTTTTTTTAAAAAAGGACACGTCTGGGCGTGGTGGCTCATGTCTGTATTCCCAGCACTTTAGGAGGCTGAGGTGGGCAGATCATGAGGTCAAGAGATCGAGACTGTCCTGGCCAACGTGATTAAACCCCGTCTCTACTAAAAATATACAAAAATTAGCTGGTTGTGGTGGTGCGCACCTGTAGTCCCAGCTACTTGGGAGCCTGAGGCAGGAGAATGGCCTGAAGCTGGGAGGTGGAGGTTGCAGTGAGCTGAAATTGCGCCACTGCACTCCAGCCTGGCGCCTGGTGACAAAGCAAGACTGTGTCTTTAAAAAAAAAAAAAAAAAAAAGACATGTAACAGGAAGTTAACACTGTTAAATTTCAGTGTCATTCAGGTGCTCACACCTGTAATCCCAGCACTTTGGAAGGTTGGGCAGGAGGACTGCTTGAGCTCAGGAGTTCAATACCAATCTGGGCAACACGTGAAAACCCCGGGCTCTACAAAATATACAAAATTTAGCCGGGTGTGGTGGCGCATGCCTGTAATCCCAGTTACTCAGGAGGCAGAGGCATGGGAATTGCTTGAACCCAAAAGGTGGAGGTTGCAGAAAAAGAAATTGTGTGTGTCATTTACACCCACAGCCCTGAGATAAATTCCCATTTTACAGATGCGGAGTTGAGCTTCAAAGACCAGTAACTTGCCAGACATAACAAAGCCACACTAAACATCAGGATGAAGATTCAACTCCAAGTCTGACTCCCTCAAAATTCTAAGTATATGCTTAAAAACTATGTCTAGTCTAAAACAAGCAAATTAAAAATTATTACCAGATTAGGAAACATGTCTTAAAATATGATGCTTAGGGCAAGGCGCAGTGGCTCACACCTGCAACCCCAGCAATTTGGGAGGTCAAGGCAGGAGGATCATGTGAGGCCACACCAGCCTGGGCAACAGAGCAAGACTATCTCAAAAAATTAGCTGGTGTGCTGGTGTACTACTGCAGTCCCAGCTACCTGGGAGGCTGAGGTGGGAGGATCTCTTGAACTCAGAAATTCGAGGCTGCAGTGAACTATGATCACACCACTACACTCCAGACTGGGTAAGAGAATAAGACCCGGCTCTAAAATTAAAAATAAATAGAGACACTTAAAATAGAGATACTTAGAAGCCTGAGTCTACACTTCACTCTAGAACTGTCACTCAGTGTAGTGGCATGATCTCAGCTCATGGCAACTTCTGCCTCCTGAGTAGCTAGGACCACAGGTGTGTGCCACCATGCCGTTAATTTTAACTAACTTCTGGGCTCAGGGATCCTCCTGCCCCAGCCTCCCAAAAGGGTTTCACCATGTTGTCCAGGCCTCCTGCCTTGGCCTCCCAAAAGGGTTTCACCATGTTGTCCAGGCTGGTCTCGAACTCCTGAGCTCAAAGCAATCTGCCCATCTTAGCCTCCCAAAGCACTGAGATTACAGGTGTCAGCCATGTTTCTTAAACTGGTTTGTTTCTGTGCCTTTAATAGATGGAACTGTCAAGTATGGAGGCATTTAGTAATTGAGAGGACAGAAAACAGGTCCTGAAGTCAGGTTGTGGGCTGGGGCTTAGCTACCAGCCCCAAATGCTGAAGTCCTGGGATGAACACTCAACAAAATGGGTTCTACAAGACAACTGGGAGCTCTTCCAACCAGCTTTCTCTCCATGAACACCCACTCTGGGACTTTCATACACTGCTCCCATCACAAAGGCCCTGGTTCTTCACTACCCCTCATCTTCAACTTCACTGTCAGCTGGCTCTTGCCAACGAAATCGTTTTAGCTTATCTGCTAGAAAATTATCTACGTCTAATTTTTTTTTTTTGGCGATGGGATCTTGCTCTGTCACCTGGGGTGGAGTACAGTGGCGCAATCATAGCTCACTGCAGCCTCTAACTTCTGGGTTCAGGGATCCTCCTGCCTCAGCCTCAAAAGCTATTGGAGTTACAGGAATGAGCCAGGACTCCCAGTTCCCAGCATTCTTTTAAAGACCAGGTCTTGCTATGTTACCCAGGCTGAAGTGCAGTGATACCACCATAACTCACTGTAGCCTCAAATTCCTGGGCTCAAGTAATCCTTCCAACTTCCCAAGTAGGGCTGACCTTGAGTTTTTGTTGAAAAAGCCCCTAACCATCATTTGCTCAGAATTTTAAGACTAAACCATTAGGGTTTTTCATGGTAAAGTCATGGCCATTACACACTGATTAATCAGGCAGTGCCACATCCCCACAGTCCCCAGACATGCAGTGAGTTGGTGGAAATTCCAAGTTGTCACGTTCCCGAGCCTGATATATTCCGGTATCCCTCAACTGGTCAAAAGACTCAGAAGTGCTAAACACTGCACTCTGGATTCAAGTCCCTGCTCGTGGGGTTCATCCTCCCTTTCAAAAGCTTTTCCCGTCCATGGTACTTGCAAGCACAGACCTTGAGGTATTTTTCCAGCATCTTCACTATGTGTCTATTGTTCAAAACACTCTTAGCCACATGGAGACTGGTTTTCTTGAACTGTTCAGCAGCCAACTGCAAAGGGAACCCAATGTGAGCTTTCAAAAATGGCACAAATAAGGAAGAGAACAAACCAGCCAGGCTCTGCTGAGTCTTCCTGAGATCAGCCCTAGGCAGAGAGGCAATCTCAAAACACCAGGCTTCAAGAAGAGAGAAGGCTCCAGAGAGACCATGCAACCAAGACTAACAGATTGGAAAAGCTGGACAATCTTAAGAGATAAACACAGAGGTGCCACTGAGACCCATGTAGCACGTCCAGAATAGGGGGTGAAACAAGAGCATGTACAAATGAGAAGCTGTGCACTCAGTGGAGGAAAAGGGCAAGCTCTTTCTTTTCAGTTTGTTTTATTATAGTGATGTCGTAATGACTTCAACAACAAAAGCATGACTAGGCTGGGTGTGGCGGCTCATGCCTGTAATCCCAGCAGTTTGGGAGGCTGAGGCACGTGGATCACCTGAGGCCAGGCGTTCAAGACCATCACGGTGAAACCCCATCTCTACAAAAAATTAGCTGGGCGTGGTGGCGTGTGCCTGTAAGCCCAGCTTCTTGGGAGGCTGAGGCAGGAGAATTGCCTGAACCCAGGAGGCAGAGGCTGTGGTGAGCCGAGATTGCGCCATTGCACTCCAGTCTGGGTAACAACAGCGAAACTCCGTTTTTAAAAAAAAAACAAAACAAACAAAACAAAAAACAACTATGACTGCACCAAGTCTCTGACTGTTTTAGGGCGTGACTCATTTGCACAATGGTCCCTTGTTTGTATACTGCTTTCCAGCTCATTTTTTTCTAATTTTTATTTATTTATTTTCTTAAAGATGGGGTTTCACCATGATGGCCAGGCTAGTCTTGAACTCCTGACCTCAGGTGATCCACCCACCTTGGCCTCCCAAAGTGTTAGGATTACAGGCGTGAGCCACCGTGCCCGGCTCAGCTGATCTTTAATCATACTGTGGCTGAGCCTGGTGGATCACCTGAGGTCAGGAGTTCAAGACCAGCCTGGCCAAGATGGTGAAACCCATCTCTACTAAAAATACATTAGGAGGTTGAAGCAGGATAATCGCTTCAACCTGGAAAGCAGAGGTGGCAGTGAACCGAGATCACGCCGTTGCACTCCAGCCTGGGCAACAAGAGTGAAACTCCATCTCAAAAAAAAAAAAAAATCCAAAACCAAAAACAGTACTGTGAGATGGGTGGGCAGCTCTTGACATCCCCACTGAATAGCTGGATAAACTAAGAAGAGAGATGCTAACCCTGGGCCAGAAAGTTCCAGCCTGCAGACCAAACGCAGCCACAGCCACTTTTGCTGTCTTTTCTGCACTGACAGTAGGTAGAGCTGTGTTGCTGAACAGACTCTATGGTCTGCAATGCTAAAAATATTCGTATCTGATGCCTTACAAAAAAGAATGTGCTGACTCCTGAGCTCAACATTTAGCCGGAAGACCCATCAGCTAGGTAAGGACAGAACTAGTCCTTTAGTCCAAGTCCCCTGGGCCACTCAGCTCTCAGTGGCCCTCAGCTTCAGCTTACGGAAGCCCCCAGGCCTTCAGCTACTGGGGAACAGACCGATGTGGCTTATAGGAAACACTCAAATCAGGAGAATCTCAGCTACTGCATTTAATCCATTCTAAGCAAATATGTTTTCTCACATTTCTCTAAAAATATAGGCGAATCTTACAACAAATCAATGGAAGTGACAGACTTCAAACACAGCAAGAACCCCTGAAGATGTGGGTAATTCCCCATAGGACACAGCAGGCTCTGAGCCTGCAACACCCACCCCAGGCAGTGTGGGGCAGAAGACTCACCCTGCGGTTGTGATTGTGGTCCACGGAGTGCAGGTGCCGCTGGAGCAGCTGCGGCTGCGCAGGGATCAGCATGTCGCAGGCCAGGCAGTGAGCAGCCTCGATCCTCTTGAAGAAGTGCTCCTGGCCAATCCCTGCGAGGAAATATATGTCTTAGAGGATCTGGGACAGCAAGTAATGCTCTCCTCCTCCCACTCCCCAACAGGGTCCAGGTTTTCACCCGGCAACACTCAGGAATCAGAAGGGCATAGCCTGCCCTTCTTTAGGGAGTATGGGTCAGTACATTCGGCCTCTATAGCTGGGAATTCTGCACATTTCAGCTTTTCTGTTCCTTTTTGTTCAAACCAAGGAGGAAAAGACATCAAAGTACTTAACATCACTTTGATGTCAGCTACGACCTACGCAGAGCCACACCGAAGGCTTCTTTCTATTGCTGCTCAGTGCTCTTCCCATAGGGCTCGCCGCCACCTTCTCAGGCACCTTCTCAGCCACCTTGGGCTGGCCTTGCACCCTGTTTCATGAGTCACATGCCTTGCCACCATCCAGGACAGCAAGCATCCTTTGACCACAACTCACCTTTGAAAGGATCTGGTTTTGGTTTTGGGCTCTCTTTCTCCATCAATTCCTGACGTCGCTTCTCAATTTTCTTATTTCTGTTAACGATGTATTCCTAAGATGGATTTGGAGATGGCATTAAGTAAAATGAGAGGCTTGCACGTGTGGCCATTTCTCAGCTGCCAGGGCTAGGCAGGCAGCTATCAGAGGAACTCCATGGGCAGAAGAGTGGGAACCATGATGGCTGGAGCTCTTGGTTGTTCCTGTGACTTGGGGACTTACACAGCTGTTCTATCTGGTAAAAGAAACCTTGACCAAGTTTACACCTCTGATTTCCCTTCCTCCTTCAAAGGATCTGGCATCTGCGGGATTGGCGGGGGACATGGTGACGGGGGCCAGGTGTCCTTTACCTGGAGGAACTCCACTGTCTTGTCGGGCAGCTTGGTGCTTATAAACCGCAGTGTCTCTTTGTGGAATTTGCTTTGCAGATGCTTCTGGATCTCTTCGTCTTCAAAGCTACGGAACTTGCACACAGAACAGGCAAACTGAATCCTGGAGAAGGAAAACGAGGAGGGAAGTGAGGCAGGGAGAATCAGCTTACCTCTGGGGAGAGATGAAATAGAAACGGTATTTTTCTTTTCGAGACGGAGTCTCACTCTGTTGCACAGGCTGGAGTGCAGTGGCAAGATCTCATCTCACTGTAATCTCTGCCTGCCGGGTTTTTCAAGCGATCCTCACACCTCAGCCTCCCAAGTAGCTGGCATAATGTCACTGCACTCAGCTAGGGAATGTGGTTGCTAAACCAAGAGTTCTGACTTTCCAAGGGGCAACAGAATAGCAGTTACCCAGACTTCCTCAGCTGAATAATAGGAACATAGACTTAAAAGTATCTCAGGCAAAGATTTGTAATCAGCTGACACTGCAGCCCTTCTGGCCCCAAAGCCCCTGAGAAAACACCGGAAAGCAGTGACTGCTCAGAACCAGGGATCCCCTAAGCTCTGGCTGGCTGCTCCTTGGGGTGCAGCATCTACCTCCCAGCTTCTCAAATAAGCTTTTGAGAAGCTCAAAAGCAGAGAAAAGACCTCATGTAATTCAAAACACAAAGCCCAAGATCAGTTCTCCCATGGGACTCCCTGTAAAGACATGTCACATTCAGTTCTACAGATAAAAAGTGAGGCTTCTGGCCGGGCGTGGTGGCTCATACCTGTAATCCCAACACGTTGGGAGGCCAAGGCAGACAGATCACCTGATGTTGGGAGTTTGAGACCAGCATGACCGACAGGGAGAAACCCCGTCTCTACTAAAAATACAAAATTAGCCAGGCGTGGTGATACATGCCATGCTGCTTGCCAAGAGAGAGTGAAGTACAGGCCCCAGGCCACCACACTGGGGTGCTCCCTCCCTGGCTGTGTCCTGGAGGTTCCAGCCCTTCTGGTGTAGGGGTGCAGGCCCTGTGGCACTCAGGATTTCACCTCTGCCAACTCCACATGCCTGGCTTCTGACCCCTAAAACAAACACCATGAAGACACTTCCACTTTGGGAGATACCCCTACAGAGGAGAAAAGGGGACATATCCCAGGGCTCATACACAGAGCTGCCAGGAAGCTACAGACAAGATGCACGCTTCCCTACTACACCTCTGCCTCCCTGTGACAATTCCTCTAAGTCCCTTCAAGATCCTTAAGTCCTCAGTCACTAGTGCAAGCTCTGAAGGTTTCTTTTCAAAAACAAGTCACCTCTTCATTGGAAGAACATACAAGATGATAAAATGCAAAAAGTAAAAAAATGTCATCTCTATGCCTTTCTCCCAGTACTCTGGGAGGCCAAGGCAGGAAGATCTCTTGTGGCCCAGTTCAAGACCAGCCCAGGCAACAAAGCAAGACCCCTGTCTCTAATGAAAAATCATCTCAATTTCCATGTGACATGGAGTCATCTACTCTATCCATTATTTATCTGTTTAAAACGACAATGGTTACAATGTTCCTGTACTAAAGAAGAAACAGTTCTTTTTTTTGAGACGATATCTCCCTATTGTCCCCCAGGCTGGAGTGCACAGATGCAATCTCCGCTCACTGCAACCTCCGCTTCCCGGGTTCAAGCGATTCAAAATGAGGCCAGGCACCGTGGCTTGTGCTTGTAACCCCAGCACTTTGGGAGGCCAAGGCGGGCGGATCACGAGGCCAGGAGATCGAGACCAGCCTGGGTAACATGGTGAAACCCCATCTCTACTAAAGATACAAAAAAATAAAATAAAAAATTAGCTGCATGTGGTGGCACGTGCCTGTAATCCCAGCTACTCAGGAGACTGAGGCAGAACTGCTTGAACTTGGGGGCTGGAGGTTGAACTGAGCCAAGACCACGCCATTGTACTCCAGCTTTGGTAACAGGGTTAGACTCCATCTCAAAGAAAAAAAAAATTACTTTTTGAGCAGCTGGGGTCACCAAGCTGGAGTGCAGTGTTGTGACTTTGGCTCACTACAACCTCTACCTCCCTGGTTCAAATGATTCTCCTGCCTCAGCCTCCCAAGTTGCTGGGAGTACAGGCAACCACTACCATTCTTGGCTAATTTTTCTATTTTTAGTAGACACAGGGTTTCACTGTGTTGACCAGACTGGTCTTGAACTGCTGGCCTCAAGCAATCTACCTGCTCACCCTCCCAAAGTGCTGGAATTACAGGTGGAAGCCACCGCGCCTGGCCCCTTTTACTAAGCATTTCTTTGCACAAGAAAATCGCTGTCCCATGCGAGCTTTAAGGTCAAGGATTCCCCAGCATCACATGATCACTGGGGATTTCAATTTCTAGTCAGAAGGCAGTTAACCACTGACAGGGAGCGGCAGGGACATGATGTGGTCATGCTGACATCCTTCAGGCTTGACATGTTTGCATTTCTTTTCTATTCTGGGAGGAAATCTTGATGGTAGGACCATGTCTCTATGTATCTCCCAGCTCTGTCGAACTCCAGGAGTGGTCTGGATTTGAACAAGGTGAATGCAAGCAACTTGTCTGAGATGCCAGGCACCAGGTCAGGGGACAGGGACACCCCTCAGGCCTGCAGGAGAGTAAGAGAGCCCCCTGCTGGGCAGACTCACCAGCAAGGCTGCGATTCCAGAGAAATAGACACACCTAAGTCAAACATCAATTCTCCAAGCAAGAGCAGAAACCTAACTTTACCAAAGCAACATCCCAGCCATTCTAGCAGACAGGCAGCGTGTGTGCTGTGAGCACAAAGAGTGGCAGCATTTTCTGCACCCTCAACTCTTTCCTCTTTGGCCTCCCACTGGCATGGCCCTGGTGCTGTGTAGCTAGGACAGGGGAGCTAGGCAGTGCCTACCCCGTGCCAGGTCCGCCTCCTCCAGTGGGGGGTGGCGCCCACGCCTCACCTGTCGGCTGCGCGGTCCCGCATCCTGTCTCTCCTCCTTTGCTTTTCCCTTCTCTTCTTTACTTCCTCATCCTCGTCTTCCTTCTCTCCTGTAACAGACAAGTCCCTTCGAGACGCTCTGAGGGGCCTGCAAAGGAGCTGAGCTCCAGGGCCTGGTCGGGGGCTGCAGCTTGGCCTCCGCACCCCGTGTCTTGCCACTGCCTGCATCATGTGGCAGGGTCCAGGATGCCCCAAGGCACCATCAGAGACTTCCCAGTGGACATGGGTCTTGGGTGAGAACCCGGAGGAGTCACCTCACTCCCTGCTTGGCCTGAGGAGGCTGGGATGGGCCAGGGACATGGCCTGTCTATCCCACGTGCACCACAGCCCCCTGCTCTCTCTGTCCTCCCCATCCTGCTTGTCCAATCTAGTGCCCTGCAAATGGGGTCTTCTCCCAATAACACAGGAGAAGCCAATTCTCCCCAGATGAAGAGGCGGCAGCTCAAGGCTTCAGGTGAAGCAGCCGCTCTGCTGCCCTGTCCCACCTCTAGGTGGACCTTGATGAGTGTCCTGGCGGCCCCGTCTGAACTAGGGCCTCAGCAGGTCTGACAGTCCTTGCTGGCCCGACCTCTATCTTCCTCTCACAAAAACCGTCAATCTAGGGCTTTCCCAGGGCTGCGTGGGAAGCCATCCTAGAAACAAAAATGGGAAGAGACCGATTGGTCCTCCCGTCCGTCCCCCAGGGCCAGCACAGGAGCTCCTCGGAGAGCCACGCGGCCATCGTCCCAGTGTGAGGCCAGGTTGGGTCCCCGAGGCTCAAGGCCAGGGCCAGACGCTGAAAAATGGTTGGAAAAGCATCTGAACCGTAACCCCTACCCCTGATGCCAGTCCCGAGACTGTCCCACGAAGATGGCGACCGGCGTGCGCTGCTCAGAAGCCTCTCAAAAGGGCGTGTGGGATTTTTGGCAAGAGGTCACTGCCTGAAACTATGACTGCTGTTTAATAGCAAAGTCATCCCGGGTAGGTAGCAGGACCTGCGCGCAACAGACATGTCACCTTTGCTTTAGCATTGTGCCGTTAAGCGCTCAGGGCGCGCTGTGCTATGAACAGGACCGCTGCGGGTCATTGGGGGAGGACCGCAGAGGGCAGGCTAAGCTTGAATGTGTAACAGGAGGGGCATCTAAGCCACGTGCCTCAAATGATCAGGAGCTGGGCCACCGAGGAGCCAGCCTGTGATCCTTGGGGTAACCAGCTACAGACAGAGCCACAGAACGGGGAAAGAAACAAGTGGCTTCAGGGCGAGCTCCACGCCACAATGCCTCAGGCCGCCCTGCCACACAGGCTTCAAGCCTGGCCTGCTGTTGCTGCAGACCCTCTGGTCTCCTGCATTGGACATGAAGAGACCTGCTGAGCGGTGACTCACTGGAGGACTCGGTGGGCCCAGGTGCTCCTGACCCTGCAGGTGTCTGCTGTCACATACTCACAGGCATGTGGCAATGCACGCTGCAGCTGCATCCCCACCACAGAGGTCACAGCACAGCCTGGAGCAGGCGACGGAGGGACTGGACAGAATTAAGTCCAGGAGAAAACAGTTCAGGGACATGCACTGGCCGAGGAGGGCACAGAAGATGGGCTTGGGGCGGGGGGGGTTCTCTTCTCTCATCTCTCTTCTTCCCTACAAACTTAAACTGTGGTGGACACTCAAGGCTGCCCCCATCCCCTGCTGCAGCCCACATGGGGTCAGGCAGACAGACCCATTTCAAGTACTGCCCCAGACACTTTGAAGCAAAGTGTCTGGTGACTGCAAAGTCAAGGCCCGTTTGGTGGCTGCAGCCCCTCTTCCCCCACAGCCACGGGCTCCTTCCTCCAGGCCTCCGGCTTGCTCAGAAGCCCAACCTAGCTGGGCAGTAAGTGCAGGGCAGCCAGGCAGACACAGGAAAGCTGCAAAGGCCACGGTGACGCCTACCTCTCTGTCGCCCAGACTCGCAGAATTCATCCTCCTGGAAAAGAGTATACACAAAGTCCGGCAGTGAGCTGGTGTGTCCCGAACTCTCAACAACCAGCCTAGCCCCTGGCCACTGCCTGGTGGGTGGTCTCACTCCAGACGTAGGTGGCTATGCCACCAAGAATGAGCCAGTGTGTCAGGACCGGCCTCTGAAGCTCGGGACAGGACCTGTGAGTCCTGTTACCACTCCCAGTTGCCTTCAGAGATTCTGTGATGACCTTTCTAAAAAGCCACTCACCTGTCCTCTCTCAGTTCCTCCTAAGCTGCAGAACTGCCTGCCCTGTGGCAAACGCCCACCCGCACAATTCTATACACAAAGCCTGCTTACCAACTAGGGTGAGGGAGTCTGACTTGGGGGATGCCAGTTCCGGCATTCTCGATAGAAAATGGGCTCCACCATGTTACCCAAGCTTTTGTTTATATTTACCCAATGTTTTAGCAACAAATCACATATAGATAAAAATGATTCAGAGACTCAGAAATCTGAGTATCTGAACAGAGCTGATTCCTTAGGCAGTGAACATACGGTTAAATTAACAATTTGCAGGTTTGCAGAGATTCCTAGTCTTAAGACCTAAATCAGCAAAACAGAGACCAAGTGAGACTCTGAAAACCTGAAAAGTGCTGTCTCCTGCCTGCTCCCTGCCCGAGTGACCTTTAGGACCTGGGGAAAGCCCTCCTTCCACGCTGGACCTCCAGGCCCTACGCCCCCGACTTGGATCAGAATCTACACTGGGGTGGTCCCGGCCATGAATTGGCCCCTGATGCTGTCCACCTGTGCCTCATTGTGAGGACAGAAGGACGTGGACACTGGTCAGCAGCACCTGGCACAGAGCTGGTAGCAAATGAGCCTCCAGTCTGTGCTTGGAGGCTTCAGCCCACAGTCCCTGCAGTTACTGGCCTGGAGACCAGGGAGAGGAATAGGAGCTTTTTTCAGAAAGGGAATGTTTGTTGTAGGTGGAACTTTTTTTTTTGTTTTTTGAGACAGAGCCTCCCTCTGTTGCCCAGGCTGGAGTGCAGTGGTGCAATCTTGGCTCACTGCAGCCTCCACCTCCCAGGTTCAAGTGATCCTTCTCCCTCAGCCTCCCAAGTAGCTGGGTCTACAGGCATGTATCCTCCATACCTGGCTAAGTTTTATATTTGTATTTCACCATGTTGGCCAGGCTGGTCTTGAACTCCTGACTGCAGGTGATCCACCCACCTCAGCCTCCCAAAGTGCTATGAGGCACAAGCCACCATACCAGATTAAGGAGGAAAACTTTTAGAAACCTAGCTGAAAGTGAGGGTCCTAAATCCACTCAGAGGTAGTCAAATCTACCACAGCAGCTGCTCCTGCCCCTTTGTGAGGAAGGGAGATTAAAGAAAGAAAAAAAATCCCACACTAGAGGCAAAAGTGCTGCCTGCTGGACTTACGCCCTTGAATTCTTCATCTCCTGAGCGGAAGTCACCAGCTCCATCATCTGCCAGACACAAAGAGAAGAAAAGTCAGTCCCTGGAGTAGTCCGATCCAGTTTTCACCCTCCCAAGCTCACTGTCCAGGATGAATCTGTCCTGACCACAGTGGGGGTTGAGGGAGTGGGGGTGAAACATGCCACTGGCAAGTGTCCATGACACAGATAGGGCAGGCAGAGCCCCCAGCAGGCAGCTGACCCTTTCTACATCCGCCTGGCCTGCCTGGCCCCCCAGGGACGTACCATTTTCGGAGAAATCTCCTTCACTGTCAACCCGGGCCAGTTTGGTGTCTGGCTCCTCACACAGTTGGAACTGCTTCCGTTTCCTGCCCATGCCATCTGGTCCGAAGCGGTCAGACCCTCTCCTCCTGGGCTACAGACAACAAGCACACCCCATGAACTACTTACCTAGGCCGTGAAGATGCCCCACAGAAAAGAACAAAGAGGTTGTAAGATCAGGCAACACAGGCACACAAGGTCTTCTCAAAAAGCAAAGACACAGCATACTTAGAACGAAAGAGAAAATTGTGCTGAGTGAAAGCAGCCAGGAACACAAGGCCACGTTTCATCACTCCATTCGCACAAAACGTCCGGAACACGCAAAACCACAGAGACCAACTGGTGGTTGTTGGGGGGAGGAGACGGGGTGACTAAGAAGCAGAGATTTCTCTTCAGGCTGACCGAAGTGCTAAGATTAGACTGTGGTGGTGGGGATGATTGCACAACCCTGTAAATTAAAAGTTGAGCTGCACACTTTTAAGTTTAAGTGAATGTTGTGATAGGGAAATTTTACCTCGACAAAGCTGCTAAAAAGAGAAGTGAAGGTGGCCCTAAGGAACCTTGTGAGGGCTTACCCGATCCCGCATCCGGGGCTGCGAGCGGCCACATCCGTAGGGTATTGTGCCGTCAAAGCCACCCACCCCCTGCATGCCCATCACGCCGTAGTCGGGAGCCATGGACTGGGAGAAGAGGGATGGAGGCGGCCGGCTGGGGGAGGGCCCTCCTAGGCCCCGTCCGCCCACATAGTTCAGCTCGTTCCAGGGTGTGGACAGGGGCTCAGAGGTCGCCGTCGGAGGAATGAAGGGGTCGCTGCGCATGAAGGTGCCAGGGTTGCTCCGGTCCTGAAAGCGGCTCTGGCCCCGGCCCCGCATGAAGCCATCAAGGGAGCCCCGCTCCCGGGCTGGGTCTCGGCATTCACCGTACTGCCCTGCAAAGCTGCCATCGCGGTTGGACCCCAGGTCGAAGTCATAGTCGTAGCTGTAGCTGGGACGGTAGGGGTCGTGCTCTGGCAGACAGGGCCTGGAGTCATAGGACTCAAACGGCTGAAAGCGGAAGGAGCTGCAACGAAAACACAGCCAGTCAGAGGTGGCCACCCCAGTCACCCACCTCCACACTCCCTTGGTATAACCTCCATGTTTCCCCCACCCCCAACATCCCTACATTCAGAAGAGCAAACCAAACCACCTGCATCCCACTTAAGTACCTGGATGGTAAAACTGACCAATACCCTCCCTGGAACACTGCTGAGTGGGGGAAACAGAGCCCTTGGCCACAAGAGCAGCCTCATGAAGAAAAGAGTCTGGGGGAGCTTAGCCAGCAACCATGCCTAAGCCCCACCATGCGGAAAACCAGCAAGGAAGTCCTATTGTAACGCCACCACTCCCCCACGAGCCCAGCTCATCAATGCCACACCCAAGAGGGAGGCAAGGACAGCCCTCCCTCTAGGGTGGGTACCCACTCCCATGTGCACAGAGATGGGTGGGGTCCTAGGGGAAGGGCTGGGGTCTATAATCACCTCTCCCGGTCCTGTATGCCCTCCCCACCGCCGCCGCTCCCGCCCCTGCCTCCTTCCTTGGACATCATGTCCAAACGCTGGTTGATCTTGGCAATGAGGGAGTCGGAATTGTCGGTGCATGGCTCTGGGACGTAAGAGGCCATGTGCATGGCAGGGCCCCCGGCCACCAGGCCACCATCACTGGCCTTGGCAGCCTCCCATGAGGCTGGGCCATAGCTGTAGGTTGCGCCTGTGGTGACGCTGGTATTCTGAGCACCGTAGTAATTGTAGTTTTCATAACCTGTCATGGGAGGAGGAAGCAAGTCAGACCTCAGTGGCTATGAGGCCTGCATAAGGTGGATATGACTGGGGAGGGGCACCCGCTGCCACCAAGAAGGAAAAGGGGTATGGGACCCAGTGCTGCTGGCATCACTCCACACTGTGCTGTGACCTGCCAACAGGCAGCACAAAGTGGCCAGAGAAAGGGGTAGCCTCAGTGCTGAGTGGTGGATTTTCTCTGCCAGACTCTAGGACCTGCTCCCCATCCAAAGCCAGGGTGACCAGGAGCCTGGGAAAGGCAGTTCCGGCTGCTGACAGGCCCCATTAAGGACCCTGCTCCCCAAGCACAGTTGCAATCCTCCTTGGCATGCTCCCCCGATGCTGCCTGCCACAGCCCTCTGCAGCCCCTGTATTCACAACAGCAGCCCTGGAGGACTGTGTCTTCAGTAAGAGAGGCAGGAAATCCATGCCAAACCTCCCTGATGGGCTGACCTGCCTGGCCTTCAGATCAGAGGCCCACTCACCCGCCCGCAGACCCCCCCCCACCCCCGACCACCAAGAGCTTACCTTGCCAGCTGGCCACACCAGTTCCATATGCACCTTAGGGAAAACAGACAGACAGAGCCCCATTTGCAGAACGAAGTCACTGACGCCCCCACCTGTCACTTCGTTCCACAATCCACAGACCCAGGGCCAGGGCTTCCCTCAGCGGTTCTTAGCTTACTCAACTCCTACACAACACTGGGCTCTCTCCCAGGGAAAGCCAGCTTCCCATCAGGGCAAGGGAAGGGATGCTGCACACACCCCAGGAAGCTCGTCCACTGTCGGCTGCTAGCTAAGAGGTCGGCTGGGCCAAGCCCTGAGCAGAGTCCTCGTAAAGGGTCAGTTCCCACCAGAAGCCAGAGGGCAGGCGCTGCCAACTGCTCAGTAAGGCACTGGTGCAGTCACATCCTCGATTCAACCCAGCAAGAGGATGTTATGTGCCACAAGAGACCCAGAAGGCTGCCTCCTGGGACATCCGGTGATGGGTGCAAAAGCAGTCCCACTCCCCAAATGTTGCCAGGGACAGAGCTCAGGCTCAGAAAACAAAGGAAGCCTTTGTGCCCTAGCACACAGGCTGGCAGAAAGCAGAAAACCTTGCCAGCAGAGAGTACACACTGGTCCCCCAAACAAGCCTAGCATCATGACCCAGACTCTAGATCGGGGGTCTGCAAAAGGCCCAGCCACATCAAGCCCACTTCCCGCCTTGGCACAGCCCTTATGATTTTCCAATTTCAGTGCCCCTAACTAAGTACCGGTACACTGCCCGTGGCCCTGCGTCCTCAGGCTCTGCCCTCAGCTAAGAATGAATTTTACGTTTTCAAACAGTTGGGGTAAAACTTCTAAAGTATATTCAGTGACAAATGGTGACATGAGACACATCACTTACACATTTGTCAAAACTCAGAGAACTATACAAATTAACAAAAACTATGTCAGGCATGGTGCTTCACGCCTGTAATCCCAGCACTTTGGGAGGCTGAGGCAGGCGGATCACCTGAGGTCGGGATTTCAAGACCCACCTGACCAACATGGAGAAACCCCATCTGTACCAAAAATAAAAAATTAGCTGGACGTGGTGGCACATGCCTGCAATCCCAGCTACTTGGGAGGCTGAGGCAGGAAAATCACTTGTACCCAGGAGGCGGACGTTGCGGTGAGCCGAGATTGCGCCACTGCACTCCAGCCTGGACAATAAGAGCCAAACCCTGTCTCAAAACAAGCAAACAAAAAACTATGAGCTATAGTGAATAATATCACATCAACACTGGCTGATTAACTGTAAACACATCACACTAAGGCAAGATCTTTTTTTTGTATTTTTATACAAAAATACAAAGCTCACAGCAGCCTTGACTTCCTGGGCTCAAGCAATCCTCCTGCCTCAGCCTTCTGAGTGGCTGAGACTACAGGCACGTGCTGCCATGCCCTACTAATTTTTTCTTAAAATAAAAGGATCACTTGAGCTTGGGTCTTGAACTCCCAGGCTCAACTGATGGTCTTGCCTCAGCCTCTCAAAATGCTGGGATTGCAGGCATAAGCTGCCTCACCCAGCTAATAGAAGATCTTACTAATGAGAGACACTATGCTTGAGTGGAGGTGGCTAGGAGTATGGAACTCCACTACTTAATCTAAAGCTGTACTAAAAAGTCTGTTAATTATAGGCCGGACACAGTGGCTCACACCTCTAATCCCAGCACTTTGGGAAGACCGGGCGGGCAGATCACCTGAAGTCAGGAGTTTGAGACCTGCCTGACCAACATAGAGAAAACACTTCTCTACTAAAAATACAAAATTAACCAGGCATGGTGGTAGGTGCCTGTAATGCCAGCTACTCAGGAGGCTGAGGCAGCAGAATCGTTTGACCCTAGGAGGCAGAGGCTGCAGTGAGCCAAGATTGCTCCACTGCACTCCAGACTGTGCAACGAGAGCAAAACAAAGTCTGTTAATTATAGAGGGAAAAAAAACTTGGATATACCCTCAGCTACAGAGACTGTACAGCTCATAAAGCCACCAAGATATTCACTATCTGATCCTTTACAGAAAGTTTGCTGACCCCTGGGCTACTACTCTCTCTTGACCCTGCTGAGCATCAGGCTCAGCTCTGCCATGCTAGGGCCCTGAGTGTAGGGGAAGCCCATGCCTTACCTGCAAAGCAGAGCCCACTTACCCTGGGTGTTGGCAGGTCCAGCACTCCATGCACCATAGCCTGCAAGAAGACCCTGTGAGTTAAGATTCTATTTGTCACACTAGAGAATGGGTCCTTTTGGGGGTACTCTGAGGAGCCTAAAGGGATCTCCTTGCAGTTCAGTGCCAGCTGTACAAAAAGGAAGAACCCACCCCCACCTCCAAAGGCCCTCCCACAGCTGGCTAATTCTTATATCATCACACTCCACCTGGCTGAAGTCAAAGCAGAAAAAGGGGAGAGGGAAGTGGGCTTGGAAGTCAGCTCTGCCATGCAGAGAAACTTTGGCCCAGGACCTTACCCTTCCAAGCTTCGCTCCACAACTGAGGCTAACACAAGGCAATCCACTCACCATGAGGACACATTCCCCCACCCATCACACAGCTAGGAAACTGGCTGAGACTGACATCACAAGGACCCCATAATTGGAAACAAGCATGGGAATTTGGTGGCATAAACTGCAACTCTCTAAGCTGCACTTCCTGCTACTTTAAGCCCTCTAAGGATCCCCTGAATCCTTAAGAGTCCCAGAGTCTTGGCCTGGCCTTAAGACTCTGTACTCCTCACCCTTCCAACACCCCTGCCCACTATGGCATCTGTCTGGTCCCTCCAGGAAAGAAGACTGGAACTGTATTCTCTTCATTTCTGTGTTCCTGGGACCCAGCACTGAGCTGAGAAGCCACTATGCTTGTCAAAAGACTTCACTTTGATAAGGGAGGAATACATCCTTGTCTACCTCAACAGAGCACCCCCCACCTCTAAGCGCCTAGTGTGTGCCGATACACGGCAAGTACAAAGAAAACCCTGTTGTTCCAGAATGCCATTCGGGAGAAGGGAACTAGGCTCATGGATTATGAGACTTGACCCAGTCATACTGCTGAGTTTTGCCCTCTGCTATGCTATGCCTTCCCTTCCCTGTCATACTGCAAGGCCCTCTAAATCTGTATCCGTATTCTAACAGCAAGTAACCAACCTCGTAAGACTGCTTCCTTAAGTGGCATGCGCTATTAAGTCAACCTGAAAACCCTCCCTGAAACACAAGAAATCAGGGAAGCTGAAGTATCTCCACTAAGTCTGAAAGGTTTTCAGGAGATAGGAAGAGTGGGTAAAAAAATCTCCAAACTGGCTGGGCGCGGTGGCTCATGCCTATAATCCCAGCACTTTGGGAGGCCGAGGCAGGTGGATCACGAGGTCAAGAGATCGAGACCATCCTGGTCTACTAAAAATACAAAAATTAGCTGGGCACGGTGGCGCGCGCCTGTAGTCCCAGCTACTCGGGAGGCTGAGGCAGGAGAATTGCTTGAACCCAGGAGGCGGCGACTGCGGTGTGCCGGAATCGTGCCATTACACTCCAGCCTGGGTAACAAGAGCGAAACTCCGTCTCAAGAACAAAACAAATCTCCAAATTAAGACTGAAAAAGAGGAATACAGCACCTGCAAAAAAGATCTGATGGGAAGAAAGGAAAAGAATAGTGAAATCTACCTAGGCTGTGGGTCTGGTACACACCTAAAGCACACGGGCACAGGCTCCCACCTCAGAACCGACCCCTCTCTGTCCTCAATTTCTGCTGCTGGGATCCTTTTGCCCTGACACTTCTCAAGACCGACAACTTCTCGAGCTCTTGCAGCCAGGATCACACCACTAGCTTCTCTACAACCAGTCGAGCCCCACCCAGCATGTCCCAAATATCCCGTGGGCAAACTTGGCTCTCAGAGGGCTCTGATTCCACAAGCTGGGAGCAGGCAGCTAGAGAAGATCGGATCTACTGCAGGGAAACCGCTAAAACCAAGTGGGGAAAGGGCACGTTCCCTCTTGCACAGCTCCTTGGCCCCTCCAACAGACTGCCTAAAGGAGAACGGCTAATCTGTCACCAGCCCCAGGGCACATCAGGTTTCCAGCTTTGCACCAACACTCAGCACCTGCCCCTCACTATCCTGTCCCGGGACAACACAGGCCGGGTACGGAGCTGGAGCCCGGCAAAGCTGACTCCTGCGCCGGCCACACTCGACCCCACCACGCTGCACCCGGCACTAAAGGGCCGACCTCACGCAGCCCGACAGCTTCTGGGACAGGCTCCCTGAGCCACGTGAGCCCAGCGGAGGCCCCCACCTGGCCCCGCAGGCCTAGGACAAGCCTGCAGAAAGGCAGCCCCCGCGGTCAGCCGGCGGCCCCAGACTCCGGGCCCCGGGCCGAACCTCAGGACCCCACGCTGTGGCTCCACCCCCTAGCGCCGCCATTTTGTGGCGTCTTCGGAAGAGGAAGTCGGGAGTGCGAACACCGGTGTCGGTAGGGACCGGACGGGCCCCACGGAAGCTGCGAGGCAGAAACGGCCCACACGGCCCAAGGCACCCCCACATAAAGCCCACCGCGGCCTCTACCCCAACCCCGAGTCCCGCCCGCCTCCTCAGGCCCTGACGGCCAATCCGCACGCAGCGCCCCGGGAGCGACGGCGCCAAAACCCAATGAGCGGCGCGCCCGCGCGCGCGCCCCGACCTCCTCTTCGTAGGTCCCGGCTGCGGCAACCACGCTCCGGACGAAGCCCCGGCCCGTGGCCGTCTGCGCTGCGGCTGCGCCGCCCGCACAGCGCCTTTCCTCCCCGCTCCGCGCCCAGCAGCCAACACAAACCTCCGTAACCCTGGTCCATGGCTTCGACGCGGCCCACCAGCAACCCCTTTTACTAGGCGGCCACGGGACGCATGCGTTCAACGCACCTCCACCGTCGACTACTGGAAGATCAGGCGCTACGTCACTACTTCCGCGCGCTCCTATTGGCAGGTCTTCAAAAAGGCCCGCCCCCGCCGTCCCATCTGGCCTTTCGGGCTCCTCAGAATCCGCATCCGTAGCGTATCGGGAGTTGTGGTGCGGCTGCTGTGCCAGAGGGCCCAGCCCCTGCGCATGCGCATCCAGCTTCTCTGCCCGAGCCCAGTCCCGCCCTGCCCCGCCCCGCCGGCGAGGCAGTCACCGAGAAAGCTGGAGATGGGATGGAAAACTTTATTAGGATTGGTTTCCAGCTTCGGCCCCACGGGCCCCGCCCGCCCCGAGCTCAGGTCACGGGGCAACCCCGCCGCCCTCCTCGTCGTCCTCCACGTCGAGACCCGGGATGCCGCGGATCTGGCGCTGCAGCGCCCCTCCCAGCAGGGGCACGGCACCTTCCTCCTCCTCCTCTGGGGGCGGCGGTGGTGGTGGCGACGCGGCCACTGGGGCCGGCTCTGGGGGAACGGGGGGCTGCGCCGGCGCGCCCTCTGCACCCTCCGAGACCCCTGCCGCTTCGCCCTGCGCCCCCTCGTCCGGGGCGCACCCCTCAGCCTCCTCCTGCTCCTTCTCCTCCTCGGGGCTGTCGGTGAAAGGGTTCTCTCCCTGCAGGGAGGGGCGCGGACACTGAACGAGGGAGCACAGGCGGGGACTGGCCTGGGGTCAGGGCCAGCGCGGGACCAGCGGCTCACCTTCAGATAGCGCTCCAGCTTCTTGCTGATGAGCTTGTTGTTGAGGATGCTGCGGGCCACCATGAGCGAGGACTTCTTGGACTGCTCCATCATGAGCTGCAGGCAGGGCAGAAGGGGCTGGAGAGGCTGCTCTAGGTGACCTGTAATTCCCCCACCCCCACCCTGCCAGCTCAGAGGGACCACCCCCGCCCCCACACCCACGCACTTACACCTGGGGCGCAGCCCTACCAACGAAGGGCCATTCTACAAGCAGGGAACCACGATCTATCTGATCTTTGTTCAAATTCCCTCTCCTTCCACACAATTACTGTAGGTGATTAAAAATACAGATCTATAGATCTCTGTATGTCTTTATGGCTGTATTACAGAATTCTGGTTTGCTTACAAAAAAGCTGTAAGCAGCGAACAAATCAAACTAAGAGCCAAAGGTGCAAAACCCGTATCAAGGAGACAACTAGGCTAACAGGCAAGGAGCACTTTGGGGCCAACGGGGAGGATATAAAAGCAGGAACAGATATTTAATGAAACGTCTTTTTAACCCACAGAATTCCAAGAATGAAAAATTCTTCCCAGTCATGCAAGGTTAGAGACACTTCTCTGCTGGTGGGAGGATCAACTATTTCCATTATTTTTTTATTTCACAGAATGTTTGAAAAGTAAAAATCTCTCATTAATCCCTTCCCAGAACAATCCTAAATTTAAGAATTGGAGACATGTGTGCACACTGATTGTAGTGGCGAAAAACGGGGAAACACCTAAATGTTCTTCAGTGCAGAAGAAGTTAAATACATCATACATTCAAAAGTACAGCATTGCAGCCCGTTAAATCGGGCTCATCTCTCCACTGGCACAAGAGAGGTGTGTAATATAGTACTGTGGGCATAGCATGCAAGAGCCATTTTGTCTGGAAGGATTTCCGTCAGTATGCTAGGCCATTTCCTCATGGTGGGAGTACAGGCAAATCTCACTTTCGTCCTTATCAAAGCCATAAGATGAAAAGAGGGTATTTTTGGCGCGGTGGGAGAGCCTGTTGAGTCCCGCCCACTCCATTTACATGTTTCAGAAAGCCTTCGCACTTGCTGTTTCTACTCTCTCCATCTTCATTTTTTTTTCTTAGCACGTTTTTCTCTACTACTGGAGGAAAATATTAACAGACATCGTACATGCTCATGACAAACTAAAGATACACAATTAGAATACTACTATAGACCGTTCCTCAAGACCGTTGGCAACTTTCGCACTTGCCAACACTTTGTCCTCCTGGGTCTAGATGCCCAGATGACCATACCATTAATTCTCCCAACTGAGGCCAATTTATGTTGTTTCCAGATTTTCTCTACAATAACGCAGCAACACCAGAATAAACTGTATACTTCCATGCTGGTGCTTTTAATTCTAACCAGGTATGGTTTCAAAGTAATAGCGGCCAATTAACTGCAAAACATTTGCCAGGAATGCTTCTTCCACCAGTGTTAAAACAATGAACTGGTCCTCCTGTCTGCCCATCAGCACTGGGTGTTATCATTGCTGGGTATTTTTGCTGTGGATGAAAGAAGAATGTATGCTGCTGCCTCCTATGGCATTTCCTTGCCCACAGGCAACTGAGTGTTCCGATTTGCACACTGGACCACCTACCCAGAGTTCAGAATCTTGTAAATATTTTCTGATCCTGGTTTTATTTATTTATTTATTTTTTAGACAGAGTTTTGCTCTGTCACCCAGGCTGGAGTGCAGGGGCACGATTTCAGATACTGCAATCTCCACCTCCCAGGTTTAAGCAACTCACATGCCTCATCCTCCTGAGTAGCTGGGACTACAGGCCTGCACCACCAAACCCACCTAATTTTTTTTGTATTTTTAGTAGATACAGGGTTTTCCTATGTTGCCCAGGCTGGTCTTGAGTTCCTGAGCTCAGGCACTCCACCCATCTCAGCCTCCCAAAGTGCTAGGATTATAGGTGTGAGCCACCAGGTCCAACCAAATTTTCTGGAATTTGATACAGATTGAGTATCCCTTATCCAAAGAGCTTATGACCAGAAATGTTTCAGATGTTGGAATATCTGCATTATACTTACCAGTTGAGCATCCCTACTCCAAAAACCCAAAATCTGAAATGTCCTAATGAGCATTTACTTTGTCATGTCTGTGCTAAAAATGTCAGATTTTTTTTTTTTTTTTTGACAGAGTTTTGCTCTTGTTACCCAGGCTGGAGTGCAATAGCATGATCTCGGCTCACCACAACCTCCACCTCCTGGGTTCACGCAATTCTCCTGCCTCAGCCTCCTGAGTAGCTGGGATTACAGGCACACGCCACCATGCCCAGCTAATTGTTTGTATTTTTAGTAGAGACGGAGTTTCACCATGTTGACCAGGATGGTCTCGATCTCTTGACCTCATGATCCACCCGCCTTGGCCTCCCAAAGTGCTGGGATTACAGGCTTGAGCTACCGCGCCTGGCCGACTCTATCTCTTTAAAACAAACAAACAAAAGGTTTTGGATTTCAGATTTTCAGATGAGGGATGAACTTAAGCGTATGTTACGAGGTAGAGGGTCCGAAATTTTCTTTTCCAGAAATGTACAAAACAAACCTACCAAATTGGAATATAGGTCTACAGTTGCTTAACTATAAATTGGAAGTCCAAAGGCTCTAGAAAACAAGTTTTCCCCCAACATCCATTTGGTGGCTAAATATGAACGGATATTACATTTTTATTTATTCCATTCATATAAGTCACATGAAGAATTATTGATAATTCAACTACAAGGCACTTCCCCCACATCCTATTGGAGAGGTTAGTGTTCATACCATATTGTCTTTCTTTTTATTTTATTTTAGAGATGGGAGTCTCACTCTGTTGTCCACGCTGCACTGCTGTTGTGTGATCACAGCTCACTGCAGCCTCAAACTCCTGGGCTCAAGTGATCTTCCCACCCTAACCTCTTGAGTAGCTGGGACTACAGGCACTCACCACATGCTTGGGTAACTTTTTTATTTTTTGTAGAGACGAGGTCTAACTATGTTGTCCAAGGTGGTCAGGAACTACTGGGCTCAAGCAATTCTCCCACCTCAGCCTCCCAAAGTGCTGCGATTACAGGTGTCGGCCACTGTGCCCAGCCTTGCATATTGGCTTTCTGAAACCCAAAAATTAATTCTGAAGCATCTAGCCCGAAGGTTTCAGATATCTATACCAACTTTAACAAATTACTAAGTCTGTAACATACTGGGCCCTGTTGCTAGTCTCTCCATACTGGTTCTACTGTTTCATTACCGTGTTAATATCACCTTTGGTTTTTAATTGCAGTAACTTTGTAGTAAGTTTTTTTTTTTTTTCTTTGAGATGAAGTCTCGCCCTGTCGCCCAGGCTTCACTGCAAAGGTGTGATCTTGGCTCTCTGTAACCTCTGCCTCCTGGGTTCAAGCAATTCTCAGCCTCAGCCACCCAAGTAACTAGGACTACAGGAGCATGCCACCACACCCGACTAACTTTTGTATTTTTAGTAGAGACAGGGTTTCATCATGTTGGTAAGATTGGTCTTACATTCTTTACCTCATGATCCACCTGCGTTGGCCTCCCAGTGGCCTCCCAAAGTGCTGGGAGGCCACCATGGCTGACAAGTTTTAATATTTTCTAAATCAAGTCTCTCAACTATTGTTAGACTGAATTCTACAATGTAAAACTTTAAAATAATTTCACTTCATTTCATTGGGTCCCCCTCCCCGACCTAGATTTTGACTGGAAATGTGCTGTCTATATTAATTTGGAGAGAACTGTTTTTTGTTTTCTTTTACTATTAAATCTCCCATTTAAGAACACAGAATATTCCTCCATTCATTAAGATCTTATTTCATATTCTTGGAGTATTTGTAGTTCTTAAAGATCTCAACTCTTTCTTTTTTTTTAAGATGGAATTTCACTCTTGTTGCCTAGGCTAGAGTGCAATGGCGAGATCTTGGCTCACTGCAACCCGTGCCTCCCCGGTTTCAGTGATTCTCCCGTCTCAGCCTCCTGAGTAGCTGGGATTGCAGGCACCAGCCACCACGCCCAGCTGATTTTTTGTATTTTTAGTGGAGAAAGGTTTCACCCACCCACCTCAGCCTCCCAAAGTTCTGGGATTACAGACATAAGCCACCGTGCCCAACCCTCAAGTCTTTCTTCTTAAATCTGTATTCTTAGCTATTTTATACATTGTGTAGTTTATTTAAGTCTCTCTTTTTGTTTTTCCATTTAAATTTCTAACTGGTTAGTACTAAAATGGAGACACACTACTACTTTTTCTATGCTATCTTGAATCCTATCCCCTTACCAAATTTTATTAATTCTAAGAACATTTTGCTGGTTCAGCATTTGTTTTTTTTTGTTTCTTTTTTTTTTTTGAGATGGAATCTTGCTCTGTCACCCAGGCTGGAGTGCACTGGCGCGATCTCGGCTCACTGTAACCTCTGCCTCCTGGTTCAAGCGATTCTCCTGCCTCTGACTCCTCTGGGCTCACATACTTCTGGCTTGTTCATAAAACCGAGGTCCCATGCCAGGAAAGGCAAACCAAGCAGAGGCTACAGCCCACTGTACCTCCTCTTATGTCTCTCCTAAAGTGGCAGTCACTCAAAGAGAGGCACTCCATTGTCTCCCATCCGCAGAGCCTTGGCTCAGAGATTCTGCCCAGAGTGAGAAAAGATCCTTAAATCAGTCAACTCCCAATCTCTTCTCAAAGGAACTGACTTCATTGGCAAGAGTGTTGGGAAGTGCAAGACTAGAGACTTTCTTAAAAACAATGGAGACCAGGGAGAAAAAAAATTAAAAGGACACTGATAGCTTTGTTCTTTTTTCCTACTACACAGTCATAAAAAAGAAAGACCCATAGATTTGATAGTGGTATTAGCTAACCCACAGGCCAACTAGGTTACCAAAGAGGACCAAGACCAGTAAAACAGCTAAAACGGCCTCCCTGGGTTCCGAATAAATCTAAAACAACCTCAAAAACCATCCCTGTAGGGCTGGGCGCAGTGGCTCATGCCTGTAATCCCAGCACTTTGAAAGGCTGAGGTGGCCAGATCACGAGGTCAAGCACTTTGAGAGGCTGAGGCGGCCAGATCATGAGGTCAAGAGTTTGAGACCAGTCTGGCCAACATGGTGAAACTCTTATCTCTACTAAGAATACAAAAGTTAGCCAGGCATGGTGGTATGTGCCTGTAATTCCTGTTACTAAGGAGGCTGAGGCAGGAGAACTGCTTGAACCGGTGAGGCAGATGTTGCAGTGAGCCGAGATTGTGCCACTGCACACCAGCCTAGGCGACAGAGCAAGACTTTGTCTCGGGGGAGAAACAACAACAACAAGAAGCCATCCCTATAAAGGAGCCCAAATTTAATTGGATCAGCTTTGGGCAGCAATCTATGCCCCAAAATATTGTTGAAAACAATAAAGGAATCAGCCAGCAATTGGTAGAGTTTAACAGCTGAGTATAGCCTAGGAAAAAAAGAGCAAGCCCATGGCTTCCTCCCTCCAAGACACATCACCAGTTTCATACTGTGTGAGGATGAAAGAGACCTCACTAAAACAATCTGGCTACTCACTAAACAAATAGATAGGCAAACACAGTAATAAGACGCTGGGAGGGTGGGTGCGGGATCAGTGCCCAGAGCTGCCACAACGAATTATCTAAGATGTCTAGTTAACAATCAAAAATTATGAGACATCCAAAGGAAACTCTGACCCAGGCCCAAATTAAAAAAAGCAGACAATAGAAACTTCCTGTTACAGTGACCAGATGTCAACTTCAACAAAGATTTCAAACTAGCATTATAAATATGTTTAAAGAAAACTCAGGTAGAAGGTATGCCACTGTCTCATGAAACAATTTAAACACAGAGGTAGAAATTATAATATGTTAAAATCTTAGAGCTGAAATGTACAATAACTGACACGAAAAATCCATTTGAAGGACTCAGCAATAGATTTGAAATGAATTACTGAACCTGTGGATCAAAAGAGATTACACAATCTGTAGAACAGAGAGAAAAAAGTGAGGAAAAATGAACAGTCTCAGACAACCATGGCACACCATTAAGAGACCCAACATACGGGTAATAAGCATCAGAAGAGTAATGAGATAAAGGAGTAGGAAAAACAACACTTGAAGAAACAATGGCTGAAAGCTTCCGAAGGTTAATGAAAACTGTAATCTGTACATCAAAGAAGCTCAACAAACTCCATGTAGAATAAACACAGAGAGATGCCCAAAAAGATATAATAAAAATGCCGAGAGTCAAAGACAAAGGAAAAATCTTGAAAGCAGCAAGACAGAGACAAATCATCACAAGGAAACCCCAATAAGGGTAAAAGCTGACTTCTCAGAGGGACACTGTGGCTCATACCTATAGTGGCAAGACCCTGTCTTTATTTTTTTTTTAAAAGGTAAAATAGGAAACTTTCTAGACAGACACAAATTACTAAAACTAAGATGTCTAAAAAAACCCAGAATATCTGAATATACCCTATAACAAGTGGAGACTGATTAGTAATAATAAAAAGAAAAGCTAGTTAACTGACTGGCCGCAGTGGCTCATGCTTGTAATCCCAGCACTTTGGGAGGCCAAGGCAGGCAGATTTGCTTGAGTCCAGGAATTTGATACCAGTCTGGGTAACATGACAAAACCCCATCTCTACAAAAAACTACCAAAACTAGCCAGGCATGGCGACACACATGCCTTTATGTCCCAGCTACTTGGGAGGCTGACCTGGGAGGCTGAGATGGGAGGACTGCCTGAGCCTGAGAGGTGGAAGTTGCAGTGAGCCGAGAGTACACTGCTGCATTCCAACCTAAGTGACAGTGAGACCTTGTCTCAAAAAAAAAAAAAGCTACTTAACAAAAGCCAGGCCCAGATGGCTTCACAGGCAAATTCTACCAAGCACTTGAAGAATTAATACTAGTATACTAGTTCTTCACAACTCTTCCAAGAAACCAGAAAAAGAAGAAAAATGATAACTGTATGAGGCCAGTATTAATTAACCTGATACCCAAACCAGAAAACTGTATCAGCAAAAACCTAGACTATTATCTTTTATGAATAGAGATGCAAAAATTCTCAACAAAATACCAGCACAACTAATCTAATTTATAAAAATAATTACATACTGTGACCAAGCAGGATATATCCCAGGGATGCAAGGGTGGTTTATATCCAAATAAAATAATGTAACATACTGTAACAACAGAAAGACAAAAGCCACATGATCATCTCAAAAGAGGGAGAAAAGGCATTTGACAAAATCCAACACCATTTTAAGATAAAACATTTAATAAAACAGGACTAGATGGGAACTTCCTCAATTCAATCAAGGGCACCTATGAAAAACCTACAGCTGACATCATACAAATGGTAAAGACTGGTACTTTCCCTATAAGATCAGAAAGAAGACGAGGACATCCATTTTCACACTTCTATTCAATGCTGTATTGGAGGTGCTTGCCAGGGCAGTTAGGTAAGAAAAAGAAATAAAATGCATCTAGATTGAAAAGGAAAAAGCAAAACTAACTCTATTTGCAGATGACTCATGTTGTACAAAGAAACCCCTAAGAAATCCACTAAAAGCTATTAGAACTGATAAACATTATTTTATGTTTTTATTTTTTAGAGACAGGGTCTTGCTCTGTCACTCATGCTGGAGTGCAGTGGTATGATCATAGCTCCATGCAGCCTCAACCTCGTAGGCTTAAGCCATCTTCTTACCTCAACCTCCTGTGTAGTGGGGACTATAGGCACTTGCCGCCACACCTGGCTAACTTGTTTCTTTTGTACAGAGAGGGTCTCACTATGTTGCCCATGCTGGTCTTAAACTCCTGGGCTCAAGTGATCCTCCCACCTCTACCTCCTCGTGTTAGGATTACAGATATGAGCCTCAATGCCCAGCCATAGTTTAAATATTATTAAAATTATTAAACAGTAAAAATGAATAGTTCAGTGAGGTTGTAGGATATAATATCAATATATTGGCTGAGCACAGTGGCTCACACCTGTAATCCCAATACTTTGGGAAGCTGAGGCAGGAGGACTGCTTGAGCCCAGGAGTTTGAGACCAGCCTGGGCAACATGGTGAAACCCTATCTCTACAAAAAATACCAAAAGTAGCTGAGCATAGTGGCACATGCCTGTAGTTCCCGCTACTAGGGAGGCTGAGGAAGGAGGATTACCTGAGCCCAGGAGGTTAGAGGCTGCACTGAGTCATGATGGTACCACTGCACTCCAATCTGGGCAACAGAGTAAGACCCTATTTGAAAAAAAAAATGGTATTTTTAAACACATGCCAAAAAAAAACATCCAAAAGCACTAAGAAAACAATTCCATTTATAATAGAAACAGAAATAAAATACTTATAAATAATTTTAACAACAATAAAGAACAAAGTTTATATTCTGAAAACTACAAAACAAATGAAAGAAGTTAAAGGAGATCTCAGTAAACAAAAAGACATCCCATATTCATGGATTAGAAGACTTAATATTGTAAAGATGGCAATACTCACCAAACTGATCTAGAAATCACACACAATCCTATCAGAATACCAGCTGGCTTCTTTGGAGAAACTGATAAGCTGATCCTAAAACTTACATTGAAATCCAAGGAGCACAGAATAACCAAAACAATCTTGAAAAAGAAGAATAAAGTTGAAGTGCTCGAATTTCCTGGTTTCAAAGTCTAGTAGTAACAAAGCTACAGTACAAACTGGTATAAAAACAGATGTACAGAACAGTGGAATAGAATTGAGAGTAAACCTACATGGCTATGGTTAACTAACTTTCAACAAAGATGCCAAGGTCCTTCGATGGGGAAAAACAGTCTCTTTCATTTCTTTTTCAAATGGTGATGGAACAACTTAATATCTAGATGCAAAAAATAAAGTTAGACCCTTAACTTATACCATATAAATAAATGAACTCAAATGGAACAAAGACCTAACTGTAAAAGCTAAAACCATAAAATTCTTAGAAGAAAACATATGAGCAAATCTTTGTGACCCAGGATTTATCAATAGATTCTTAGTTATGACACCCAAAGCATAAGCAATGAAAGAAAAATAAATTGGACTTTATGAAAATTAAACTATTGTGCTACAAAGGATACATCAAGAAGGTGAAAAAACCCACAGAATGGGAGAAAATATTTGCAAATCATATCAAATATGGGACTTGTATATAGAATAAAGAACTAATAAATCAAAAAGACAACACAATTTAAAAATGCACAAAGAATTTGAATAGACATTTCTCCAAAGATACAAAAATGGCCAACCAGCCCATGAAAAGATGCCATTAGTCATCAGGGCTACGAAAATCAAAACCACAATGATACCACTTCTCACCCACGAGGATGACTAGATCAAAAAGTCAGAAAATAAGTGTTGGTGAGTATGTGAAAAAATCGGAACCCTTACAGATTGCTGGTGGAAATGTAAAATAGTGCAGTCACTTTGGAAAATTGTCTGGCATTTCCCGCAACAGGTTAAAGTGTTACTATTTGATCCAGACATTTCAGTCCTAGTTATATACTCAAGAGAAATGAAAACATACGTCCACATAAAAACTTGCACGATGTTTCTAAGAGCATTATTCATGATAGCCAAAAGGTGGAAACAACCCAAATGCTCAAAAAGATGAATGGATAAACAAAATGTGGCATATCTATCTATACGATGGAATAATACGAAGCCATATGAAGGAATGAAGCTCTGATACACGCTACAATGTGGTTGAACCCCGAAAACATCATGCTCAGTGAAAGAAGCCAATCACAGAAGACCACGTTATGTGATTCTGTTTATAGCAGTGTCTAGAATAAGCAAATAGAGAGAGTGAGATTAGTAGCTGTCTAAGGCTATAGGAGGACAAGAGGTTGGGGGGCTGATAGCTAAAGGGTTTCTTTTTGAGATGATGAAAATATTCTGCAATTGACTGGTTGATGACTGCAAAATTCTGTGAATACATGAAAAACTGATGAATTGGTTTTTCCGTTTGTTTGAGATGGTCTTGCTCTGTCCCCCAGGCTGGACTGTGGTGGTGCAATCGTAACTTACTGTAAACTTGAACTCTTGGCCTTAAGCGATCCTCCTGCCTTGGCCTCCCAAAGTGCTGGGATTACAGGCATGAGCCATTGCACCCAGCCCTAAGACTACTGAATTGTATACTTGAATGGGTGAATTGTACAGTATGTGATTATATCTCAGTAAAGCTGTTATCAAAGATAACGATAATAATTAGAAGCTTTCTTTTCATCTCTATAGTCTGGAATTCTAAAAAAATACAGTATTTAAACTGTATTCAAATTAGTTCTATAAACCAATGACTTCTGATGCCTTCCAAATATCTTTTATCATCCTTCCAAACCCCTCTATGATTATGAGCTGCTATGGTGTTTTGTTTTTTTTTTTAACTTCTTTTAGGATCAATTTTTAGTTTGCATTTTGCTAACTATCACTTCCCCTGGATTTTCCAACTTTTATTAATTATATATAGTTTCCATCCTCTGCAATCTTCTCTCTAACCCCTACTAGTTCCCAGCACAAGAATCTGTTCTTGGCAAGTTCCCTAAAGCTTCTCTGTTCCCAAAGCCAACTGACAATTTCCTTATCTTCCCAGACCTCTTGGTGGCATTTCCAAATTCTGAGTCTCTGCAACTACCCAAGCCAGAGAGACTCCTGAGACTCTGTCCACTGTTCAGAATCATCACAATGAAAAAGACTAGAGAGGCATTGTGATGAGCATGGAAAAAGGTGGAGAAATGCTGCTTCCCACACTCACCTTGGATGCTAACATCTGCTCATAAACCCCATCACTCTTCTCGGGGGTGAAGACAGCCAAGCCCCTCTTTGGCCCAGACCTGGTCCTGGGCCTCTTTGCTTTTCCCTGATACACAGCCCCTTCACCCCCACCTCCAACCCAGCATGCCATCCATTCAAACAAAAGACACCTACTCTGGCTTGTGTGCTAGGCATTGAGGCTACACTGGAAAATGAGAAGAATTTGCTCATTCTCTTGCCATATGTTCTCCTTGCCCCACAACGTATTTCCCCACTGCTCCCTCGTCTGCGGCAGTCTCGGCAACACTACTGTCCTCCCGGTTCCCCAAGTCAGAAACCAGAGTCACCACAGGCTCCTGGTCACACCCACATGCTGACCTCTGGCTCCTTTCCTTCAACTGCTCTTCTGTCCTTCACTCCCAAGGTGAGGTCTCTTCTCATCTGGAGACTGCAGCAGCTCCTCCTTGGCCCCCACCACCCACCCAGGTGCAGGCCTGAAGTCTCTAGTTCAATACCAACTCTTATCCTGTTAATCCCACACTTGAAACTTCACTGGTTACAAGAAAAAGCCCAGGCCTCTCAGTGCAGCTCTTTTTTTTTTTTTTGAGACGGAGTTTTGCTCTTGTTACCCAGGCTGGAGTGCAATGGCGCGATCTCAGCTCACCGCAGCCTCCACCTCCTGGGTTCAAGCAATTCCCCTGCCTCAGCCTCCCAAGTAGCTGGGACTACAGGCATGCGCTACCATGCTAGGCTAATTTTTTGTATTTTTAGTAGAGATGGGGTTTCACCATGTTGACCAAGAGGGTCTCGATCTCTTGACCTCGTGATCCACCCGCCTCGGCCTCCCAAAGTGCTGGGATTATAGGCGTGAGCCACCGCACCCAGCCGTCAGTGCAGCTCTTTAAGCCTCAAGCCCAACTCCCTCCTCCAGCAACACTTACACTGTATCACCTCCATTTGGTTTCTGAACCTAATCTGGCGCTGGCCCCTATGCACATGGAGGTCCCACAGAATATATCACCTTCTTCCAGGCAGAGTCCCTATCTCCCACCCTTCTCTCTGTAGCTGCGCTGCCTGCACCGAGCTAGAAATGTCCACATCCACCTGCTCCTGCCTCCACTGCAGTTCCTCATGGGCAGGCAGAGGTTCTAACTGCACAACCTTCTCAGAGGTCTCACTCAGTCTACCCACAGGACAGAGGGAGAGCACTGTGGCTACTCACCCTGCGGTTACGGTTATGATCCATGGTCTTCAGGTGCTTCTGGATGATGCCAAACTGCATGGGAATGAAGAGGTCGCAGGCTGCACAATGGGCTGCCTCCACCTTCTTCACAAAATGCTCCATGGCAATTTCTGCAGTGGGAAGGAGGGAGACACTACTGGGCCCAGGTGCCTAAGACAGATTCAGGTATTTGAGGAAAAAAACCACACCAGCATCTCCTCAACTCGCCCTGCCACTTCCACCTGGGCCTGAGCTGAGGCTGTTCTCCTGACCTTCCCTGGGGGAAGAGAAGGGTGTCTTGACCCTGTACTGAGAATCAGGAGGGCGGGCTGAGGCCTTGCCTGGTGGAAGTGGGCTAGAATCTCCTCACCCTGGGTCAGATCCTGGTCTCTGTAGATTTGCTGGATGAGGCCATCAAGGTCCTCCACAGTTTTTCGGAGCTCCTCTGTCTTCTTGGTCTTGTTGGTGACGTACTCCTGCAAGGAATACAGAGGTTCGTATGGGCCGCCTTCTGTTCTCAGGGGTCCAAGAAACTAAGAGTGGCTGTTACTCCAAGGCTCACCTGCAGAAAGTCAGCTGTCTGCTTAGGGAGCTTGGTGCCTACATACTTAAAATGTTCCTTGTGGAACTTGCTGTCTAGGTGGCTGGCCATCTCGTCCTCATAGAAGGTCCGGTATTTGCAGAGAGAACACACAAACTGGATCCTGCCACAGGAAGGAAACAATGGGCTGAGGCTGCAAGTGTCCCAGGGGACACTGCTGCCGCCTCACCCAACCCAGACACAAGCCTTGAAATAGGCCTTGCTCATGGGCTTCTGAAGTACGGTCCCAGCAGAGGGACAGGCTAGGACCAGTGGGGTTGGGAGTAGAAAGGGCCAGAAAGTCTGCAGGCTGCAGATACTGCCACGTAGGGGACAGGGGAGGAGCTCTTCCTTCCCACAGGCAGGAGGCTGAAGCCTGAGACAGCAGCTGCTGCAACAGGCAACGAGTCGCTGGAAGGTTGATGGAGGGCCTTGCTACCAAGGCTGGGCAGGAGCGTGTGCACTTGGCCCAGGTGGGGACCAGAAGGAAGGATGCCCTGGCGTGAGCCAGGTGGCACTGAGGTGCAGAGTGGAGTACGCAGTCCTGAGGCAGGGCCCGAAAAGGTGCTGCATCGTCCTTCTGGGATCTGGGGGACTCAAAGGCCCAGCCCATCCTCTGCTCAGAATGCTTGGGGGTGGTGTCGGGAGGGATGGGAGGCAGGCAGGCCTGGGCACCTGCTGCCTCATCTTCCTCTTCCAAGAAGAGACCAGTCTGAGCTGGAAGGAGGGCGCCCGCCCGGCCTGCCAGAGGGCAGCCTGGAGTCACCTGGGCGAGGTGCTCTGTCTGGGCCTGGTGTCCACAGCAGAAGCCCGGGGTCTGGGGCCTGGGCCGGAGCAGGCCGCCGTGGCAAGGGGCGGAGGAGGCCAGCCGCCACCGAGACCTCAGGGCGGGTCCCTACCTCTGCCGGACGTCCTTATCTGGGCCACGGGGTCAGCTTTGTCTGGAGAGCCCAGGGGCCGGGCGCCGGCGAGGCTGAGGAAGGTCCAGCAAGAGCAAGAGTCTGAGGCGGAGGAGGCAAGCGCCAGTGCGGGAGCCCTGAGGGCAGACAGACCCAACCAAGGGGCGTGAAGGGCTCAGCCGAAGACAGGCCCAGCCTGACAGGGCCAGCGGGCAGGGCAGAGGGCAGGCCCGAGGCTGCCACAGCCCACAGGTGCTGCCATCTCTCCTGGGCATGGCGGCGGCCTCTTGGCAGCTAGCTGGGGTGGCACAGGCGCCTTGGACCTTGAGTCTCTGATGAGCTGGCCCCCTCCCTCAGGGGCATCAGGCCCCCAGTGCACCTTGGGGTTCGTGCGCCGAGTGACCTAGCGCCAGAGCTTCGGAGCAACGGTGCCGAGCGGTGTCGGGTCTCGGGCCACAGATGCCAGCGGTCGCCAGGCGGCCGCAGAGGGGCAGGGGATGAGTCAGGCCTTGGGAGCTGGGCCTGGCGGGAAGCAGGGTCCATGCACGGCTGAGCAGGTGGTGGCTCCCAAGGGAGGCCAGAGGGCGGCGAGCTGGCAGAGCTATGGCCCTGCTCTCCTGGCAGCAGCCCCACAGTGAGGCAGAGGCAGAGGGGTGGAGGGAAGCTGGTTACCTTTCCACCATTCGGTCTCGCTGCCGCTTTTTCTGCTTGTCCTGACTCTTCTTGCCTGCCTGCAACTTGCGCTTGGTCTGGCCGTTCTCATCCTGGGTGGTCAGGGCCCCTGTGGGAGCAGATGGGCATTGTCACCAGTTTGGCTCTGCCAGGACAGGGCAGGCCCTGTGACCTCTGGCTAAAACACACACTGTCCACTCGAGGGTCCATCGAGAACAGGTGTCCAAGCAAGGCCTCTGGCCATGAGCAGGGCTGAGTATCCCGGGCTTGGCCTAGGCCCCAAAGAGTGGGAGCCAGGTGCTAACCCCTCCACTCTCCAGGACACCCACACTCTCTGTGCAGTAGGCAAAGAGGATGCTGGAAAGCAAACAGGGGCTATCTTGGTGGGGACACTGGCACATGTTCAGAGGGGCCAGGTGGTGGGATGCAGGGAGGCTGCTCATATGGCCCTGCCCACCCCCCACCGGGCAACGCGGCAACAGTGGGCTGAGGCTGGATTTGCTGTTAGGTACCTGCTGGCGCTCATCACTCAGGTGGGGGGACACGGACTCCCAACAGGGGCTGGAGAGGCGCTAAGGGAGAGGACACGCACACCAGAGCCGTAAAAACTGCACCGAGGGTCCCAGCTTGGACACCAGCCACTGAGGACTTGGAACTGCACATTACTGAGGGACTGAGGGCAGGGGGTGTGCCTGGGGTTCCCCACACTTTTACTCACTGCCCCCATCTGAAGGCAAAACCAATGTGCTAGGCAGGGGTCACCACCATACACAGCCTCCACCAAGGAAGAAGGAGGCAGAGTGGGAAGGGTGGGAAGGGGGAGGAGGTGGCGAAAGAAAGCCCCCTGCCAGTGCACACCCGGGGCCACAAGGGAGGTCCCCAACTGGCTGCATATCTGCCACAACCCTGCCCTCAGCTGGGTCCCACCCACTGTGACCCCTGGAAGAGCCACCCCAGCACCAGGCACCCCAAGAAAACTCACCCTTCTCTGGATCCTCTTTTCCTTCTTCTCTCCCATCCTCTTTTCCCTCCTCGTCCTCTCCGTCCTAATAATTTCAAATTCCAACTTTAAAACAGGTGCCTTTCTTTTCTTTTTAAAGAAACCAAGTTTATTAGAGCAACAGTATATGGCAAAATGGCTGCTTGCTCCACAGACAGAATAGGGCTATCCCACAGGCAGGGTGGCTCAGAGTAGCCCAGTTACAATGGCTGTAAATGACAAGGTCTAGCTGTGTGCTAGGAACCTCACATCCTCCCACTACCTGGTGCACAGGAGGCTTGTCCCATTTTCCAACAAGGAAACTGTGCCTCCAGCTTGGCAGCCTGTGCTTTCTGCCAGACCACACTGCCTCCCCATGCTGGTCACTGTGCACACAGAACTAACACAACACTGTCTCTAGCCCCCAGGGAGAGCACCACTCTTCAGCCCAGCTCACCCTTCCTGCAGATAGAAAATGCGCAGCCAGGGACACTTACCACTCTGGAGCCCTTCTCCACAGCCTCGGTCCCTTCAGGTCCCTCTGTGGCTTCCCCCTCGGTGCCCTCATCTGAAAGGGAAGAGAGAGGTAGGCTCAGCCCAGGAGCCCCAGGAGGCATGGGGCAGCTGCCCAGTACCACCTGTCTAGCTCACCATTGTCTGAATCGCTGTTGTCCGAGCAGTCCGTGCGGGTGGCTTTGCTATCTGGCTCATCAGGACTGCCGCCCTGCTTTCTCTTCTTCTTCTTGGTCTGGGTAATAAGAGGGGAAGCCATGTCAGAGAGCATGGCTCCTGGCCCTTAGCTCCGCCCCAGCAGGAACTAAGCTTCCCAGAGGGGAAGGCTGTCTCCACTCACCCGGAAGTCTGCTGTGGTCCAGGTCTTCCAGGTCCGCCTCATCTGTTTCATGCCATTGCCAAACCCAAAGCCAAAGCGGGAGCTGCCAGGGAAGGCGCCCGCACCTCGCATTCCCTGGAACATGCCATACTCGGGGATGATGTTCTGGGAGAAGAGGGAGGGCAGCCGAGAGGCACCAGACATGCACTGGCCCCGGGCCCCCATGGGGTCTTCCCACATGCGCCCATAGCCCGAGGCCATCGGCCGGCCGCTCCGGGCATCCCGGGCCCAGCCCTGCGCCCTGGGACCAAAGGTGTCGCTGCCACGCATGCGGAACTGGTCACGGTAGGCGTCGTATTGGCCCTCATAGGCCATTTCCATCTCAGGGTCAAGCTCGCTGTAGTCATAGCCTGACCGATACAGGTCACGCTCACTCAGGACGGCCCTTGAGTCACAGGCCTCATAGGAGTCATACCTGCAGAGGCATGGGACGAGCATCAGGTGGAGCCCCTCAGGGTCCCTCACCTCCAGGCGACTGCTCCTGCCCTCCCCACAATCTCCCAGTCCAGCACCCACCCTGTCCTGGTGGGCAGGCTCAATGTTCAGAAAAGCCAATTAAAAAGTTCCAGCCTCTCAGCTTATCTAGGGGCACCACTGCCCCAAGCTTGAACGTAGCCATACACTGGCTTAGGGACCCTAAGAAGGACTGAAAACTGGGGTGGAGGCTCTAGTCCAGTGAGTCTCAACAAGGGGCAGAGCTGCTTCACAGCTCTTGGGAACATGTGCACCATCTGTGGGAGCCGCAATGCCGGAGGCTGCTCCCGGTGGGCCAGGGTGGAGCACCTCAGCACCCTGCAGGACACAGGCAGCTCCAGCACAATGAATATGCAGGCAATGAGGCTGATGATGCCCATGGGAAACACTATGTTCTTGTCCCTCGTAACTGGGGAACCTTCAAACCCTGCAAAGTCCCTCATTACCAAAATAACTGAGACAAAAGGGTATTTCCCAGGAAAGACACTAAGAGCTTGCCCAGGAACAAGAAAAACAGCTGTATCACATCAAGCCTGGAGCCCAGAGCCAGACACCAAACTCTATATACCCTATATTGCAACTGGGAAGGCAGTCCAGACCTCTTCCCAGGACACAGAGGGCACTTAGAGAGCTTTTAACCATGACTGCAGCCCACAGCCCACACCCCCACAGGCCTGGAACCCACACACCTCATAGGCACAAGGGCTCCCCTTATATGCTATTTCCTAAACCCAGGCCACCAGGAGGCACCAGCAACTGTAAGAGCAGCAGTTGGTGCTGCCATCGCTCTGCTTCCCCGATCCCCAACTCCAGGCTGTGGCAAGAAGGTGCACAGCAGCAACACAAGCCCAAGCCCCATACACCAAGCCTTTAGCTTCAAGTGCTGCAGCTGTTGGGCCAGGAGTTACAGAGCCCATGGCATCAAGTCCCCTTGTGCCTGTCCCATGCCCTGACACTACAGCTCTGGGGCCTCATTTGGCCCCACCAGAGCCTGGTCAGGTGACTCCCGACTCTCAGCTTTCACTCATCTGTTAGTTGAAGCTCCACTGTATCCCCTGCTACAGATACACCTGCCCTCCTCACTGAAGCCTCGCACTGGGCACAAGCACTCCTGGGCCAAGTCCAGTTCAGTTAATGACAAACACCCACAGCATGATGCTTTGGATTAGGGCAGATCTGGTGCGTGAGGCCCAGCCCCACCATGTACTTGCTGCATGCCTTTGGGGTATGACCTGCCTGCACTTCTGTTTCCCCACCTGCAAAATGAGGACAGCAGCAGTTCCTCACAGGTGTGCTTCCATCAGTTACACATTTGAAAGGCACAGGAGAGAAACCAGGAATTGCCCACACCAGCCCCAACCCTTACGTGGTTACGTGGGGGTGGCCCAGCTCGCAGTGATCAGCCCCAAAGGCTGGTCCCACCCTTTACACCAAACTCCATCTGTCCTGCCCTGATACAGCACAGGAGGCAAAGTCTTGAGAGAATTCCAAATGGCTGTCCTTGGAGGGAGGGGAGCCTCAACACTTTGTTTTTGAGAACATAGTGAAGTCAGCCCAATCTGGGCTTGTTCCTCCCACTCCAAGCTGGGGAAAGGCTGACCACCAGGCAGTGTGGCAGGGGTTGAGGATGGGTGAGAGGAGACACAAGTCAGAGATGGGAAGTGCAACAGACCCCGCTGGGAGCCACAGCAGCACTAAGTAGAGGGAGGAGCAGACACAGAGGCACACTGAGAGAGGAAAAGGCAGCAGGCAGCAGGCAGGAACCACCCCTGCAGAGCCTCAGCCCCTAGACAAGGGTTCCACTCACCTTTCTCCACCTGAGCCATACACGCCTCCTTGCATCATGTCTGTCTCCAAATGCGGCACCATATCTAAGCGCTGATTAATTCTGGATAAAACGGAATCGGCACTGGCGCTACCCGAGGCACTAGTGTTTGCATTTGTGTCAGAGCTAGGCATTTCCCAAGAGTGTGAAGTGGCCATACCATACCCATAGTTGGTGGTGTTATCCTGGCCATAGCCATAGCCATAGCCATAGCCCTCGTAGCCTGCAGTGAGGGAGACAGAGCCAGACAGATGGTAGGGGCAGGCAGAGGGGAGGCAGACAGACAAACACAGATACAAGGGCACCTTCTGTCACAGAGACAGGAGACCCTAGTCACTGAGTCCGGATGGGCCCTTGCCATTCTTTTTTTTTTTTTAAAAGATGGGGTTTCACCATGATGGCCAGGCTTGTTTTGAACTCCTAACCTCAGGTGATCCACCCACCTCAGCCTCCCAAAGTGCTAGGATTACAGGCATGAGCCATGGCACCCGGCTCTGGCCCTTGCCATTCTGATGAGGGCCTCCTGTTAAGGAGCAGGTAACCCCAGAAACACGCCCCCTCCCCGCTCCCAACCTTGGCCAAGTGGGGCAGCAGCAGAGAAATAGCCAGAACAACCCCAAGGGATAGACAGCAATCAAAGGAATGATACTTGCCTCTGTTTGTCCCAGAGTTCCAAGTTCCATATCCTACAAAAAGTAAAAGGGCAATTACATCTATACTTGCTTACAATACAAGAGCTTAATTCAGGCACAAAGACAATTATTCCCAGGATGTGACTGGTCAGAACAGGCTGCATCTCCCCTAAATGAGAAGCCTTGAGCTGGTGAGCACTATACAAATGACCCAGACTACTTGCTTCCCTGGTGCCTGGCTGCCTGTGGCTCTGAGCATCTGTTATTTAAGGAGCCTTCTGTTCCCAACACTCTCAGCTAAGGAACTTGGCTGCTATACTCCTCGATTAAAGCGCCAGAATTAGAAGATGACCTCCATGACACAGGCTAAGTGCTAATCAGTTTACAGCAGAAAACCCAATCCCAGTCCCCCAAGACTCGGCCTTAAAAGGGAGGGCCAACAAGCCCTTGAATTGTAAACTGTGCTGTGCTGGAACACATCAGTGGGAGAAGCCCAAGAGGCAACGCTTTGCCTTAGAAAAGCTGTGGAGAGAATGATCTGGATTATAAACTTAATATGCTCTGGATTCAATCACAACACACAATAAAACTTCTTTCCTTCAGGAACATAAAGCCACTGAGAACTGACACAGTGTAAAGTCCCCTGGGAACTCTGAGTCAAACACACAGTTCCCCAAAGGAGGGCACAGAGCAGGTGACCCATTTCCCTGGGTCTCTAGTGAGACCCAATAGTTGCTTCCAATTCCATGTCATCTCTGCCCTGCAGACAGAGGACATGCTTATCCCCAGGGCAGGGGACCAAAGCTCAGTGAGACAGACAGCAGGACAATGAATGCCAGAAGCCAGATCAGAGCAGGACGAGTGTAAGTCAACTGAAAAAAAGAGAAAGAGGCAACAGGCAGGCTGTTGTCTTGCACTCGGGTTCCTCCACGACCCAGTACACAAACAAAATGGGAAGAAGTTCGAGAGAAGCTGAGGAACTGCTGATGACCACTATGTTTAACAAGAGAGCTCACAAAACAAAAACTCTTGGGCTGGAGAAACCAAAACAGAGGCTTCTCATCTAACTGTTGATGCATTCCCTGGGCACAGGAACAGAGGCTTGCAGTCCCAAGCACTGCTCAGGCACGGAGACCTGCTTGTTGCTAAGGGAGACACTAATAGTCAGAGAGCAGCATGGGTCAGCCAGGAGTGGTGGCTGAGGAAGGAGTGGCTAAGGAGCCATTCTGACAGGCAAGAGAGGCTGGCAGAGCCACATAAAGAGCAATGCATAAGGCCGGGCACAGTGGCCCACTCCTGTAATCCTAGCACTTTGGGAGGCCAAGGTGGGCAGATCACCTGAGATCAGGACTGTGAAACCAGCCTGGCTGATATGGTGAAACCCCATTTCTACCAAAAACACAAAAGTTAGCTGGGCATGGTGGTGCACATCTGTAGTCCCAGCTACTCAGGAGGCTGAGGCACAAGAACTGCTTGAACTCTTGGCCAGGCGTGGTGGCTCACACCTGTTCACGAGGTCAGGAGATCAAGATCATCCTGGCCAACATAGTGAAACCCCATCTCTACTAAAAATACAAAAAAATTTTAGCTGGGCATGGTGGTGCAGGCTTGTAGTCTCAGCTACTTGGGAGGCTGAGGCAGGAGGATTGCTTGAACCCGGGAGGCGGACATTGCAGTGAACCGAGTTTAAGCCACTGCATTCCAGCCTGGGCGACAGAGTAAGACTCCCTTAAAAAACAAAAACCAAACCAACAAACAAAAAAAAACACACAGGTAGCCCAGGCAGCTACCTGGCCACATGACTGTTTGTACCAGGGATGGTGCGCACTAGCTATTCTAAAGAAAACAGCATAGGGAGGCAAAGGCAGAACCATCAGGGCTGTTTGTGAGGCTATTACATAGTTACCACAGGCTTCACCTCCTGAGGATCTGCCAGAACAGAGTGCGAAGGCACAAGGAAAGGAAGGAGGCATCAACTATGTGAATAACACTTTACGTTTTAAAGACAGGCAGGGCCTCCCACGATGGCCAACTCTCAGGAATCCCTACAGGAAAACACTATGTGCCACTTGCTATGCCTGGAGCAACCCAGACTCCTTGATGGGACACCCCAGCTGGGTCCCTTCAGAAGGAAGCCTTCATCTAGACTGGTGTTTAGGGACTCCCCAAGACCTGCTCTTTCTGAAAGAACACCCCAATTCATTTCCATCCCCAGAAGGGATGAAATCATGGTTGACAAAGGAAATTTTAAGGATATATACATAGATATACATATCCTTAAAGATATATATGTATATATATATATATATTTTCTTTTTGAGACAAGGTGTAGAAGGCTGCAGTATTGTGGTGTGATCACAGCTCACTGCAGCCTTGACTCCCCGGGTTCAAGTGACCTTTCTGCCTCAGCCTCTGGAGTGGCTAGGACTACAGGCATGCACCACCATCCCTGGCTAATTTTTTCTATTTTTTGTAGAGATAGGGTTGTACTGTGTTGCCCAAGCTGGTCTCAAACTCCTGGGGGCTCAAGTGATCCTCCCATCTCAGCCTCTCATCTTAACCGCACCTGGCTAAGGACATAATTTTTAAAAGAAAAAAGAACACTGGTCACAGTAAGTGATATTTATGGACCAAAAATAGAAAACCATTCGATATTCAACTTTAAGGTAATAGTTGATCAGATTATAGTCTACCTACGCTACTCAGTGACATATCATGTAAGCATAAAAAAAAATTTACTATGCCTTATATAGTACAAGGAAATGCTTCTAACATAAAATAAAGGAGGACAGCTAGGCGCAGTGGCTCACACCTATAATCCTACCACTTCGGGAGGTGGGGCAGGCAAGGCAGATTGCTTGAGCTCAGGAGGTTGAGACCAGCCTGGGCAACACAGTAAAACCCTATCTCTACAAAAAATACAAAAATTAGCTGGGTCTGGTAGGGCATGCCTATAGTCCCAATTACTCAGGAGGCTGAAGTGGGAGGGCCGCCTGTGCCTGGGAGGTGGAGGTTGCAGTGAGCTGAAATTGCGCCACTGTGCTCCAGCAGGCGACTGAGTGAGACCATATCTTAAAAAAAAACCCAACAAAATAAAGCAGGACTCACAATTCTATCCACCTATAAATTATTAAACTACATGTAATTAGTAAGCTGACAAAAATTAAATATTAACATGGCAGGGTCTTGGTTGACTGTTTTTCAAAATGTTATTAAATGTTATATTGTTTTTGCAATTCAAGCCAGAAGGAAAAATAAATCCATTTCTATTCTTTCACAACAACGGTGTATGTAAAAAAATCTAAAACAAATCTACGAAAGAGCTACTAGAAGTAGTGAGCTTAGCAAGGTTTATTGCAAGGTCAATCTATATATCAAATTTCAAATATTACAAGGTAAAACTACAAATCAAACAGCGATAAATTTCTAAATATCAGCAATGAATTGGAAATTTTTTAACGTACTATGGTACTAAAAGCATGAAAAACTTAAGCGTAAATCTAACAAAATATGTGTAGGATCTGTGTTGAAAACTACAAAACACTAATAAGTCAAAGACCTACATTAGTGAAGTGGCATACTGTGTTCATGAATCAGAAGACTTGATGTTGTTAAGATTCAATTTTCTCAAACTAATCTCAAACTGATCTATAGATTCTATAGATTTGATAGATCTATAGACTCAAGACTCTCTCACTCAAAATCTCAGGAGAAATTTTTTTAAAACTTGATAAACAGATTCTAAAATTTATATGTAAAAGCAAAGAAACTAACAATATCGGAAAAAAACCAAACCTGGAGGACTCACATTTCAAGATTAATACTATCCAGTAATCAAGACTGTATTTGTGGGCCGGGTGTGGTGGCTCACGCCTATAATCCTAGCACTTTGGAAGGCCGAGGCAGGCAGATCACGAGAGGTCAGGAGTTTTAAGACCAGTCTGGCCAACATGATGAAACCAGTCTCTACTAAAAATACACAGACCATTTCTGAAGAAAGTTTAGATGTCTAGACCAATGGAACAGAATGAGAGTCTGGCCTCCTTTGGATTTTAATTGGCCACTCTTGACTCCCAGTCCCTCCCTCATGGGGATTTGAAGCCAGGCCATTTATCAAAGAGCCTAACTTGCTCAGGAACACAGCTATGTTTTCCATCATTGCCCCAAAGAGAAGCACTAGCTATTCAAATGGCCACACCATTTCACACAAGTTTAGGTTTAAAAAAGCACGACAGGGGCTGGGCGCAGTGGCTCACGCCTGTAATCCCAGCACTTTGGGAGGCTGAGGCGGGTGGATAACGAGGTCAAGAGATTGAGGCCATCCTGGCCAACATGGTGAAACCCCGTCTCTACTAAAAAAAAAATATTTAGCTGAGCGTGGTGGCTTGTGCCTGTAGTCTCTAAAAAAAAAAAAAAGGGCATGACAGGGTGACATCAAAGGCAACTAAGAAGACAAGGAGTTGTTCTGCAGAACACTTCAATTCCCACCAGAGGCACACACTTACCATAATCACAGGTGGGCTGAGCGCTGGTGTCCGAGTATGTCGACTGCAAAGTGGTTTCAGATCCCTGGACAAAGCCTAAACATAAAGACAGTGGGGTTAATTTCCCCATGCAAGTCACAGGGAAATGACCTAATACTACCCTTTGGTATAGACTTAGACTTGCTAGCAGGCCCTTCTCTCAATGAGAAGCCACCAAAACCTGTAGATTCCACCCTTTAATTAGACCTTCAGAAAAGATGAACCAATGGAAAGGCAGGCCATGTTTAACTTGCTATACCAGGACTAGATAAAAAATTATTTTACTTTTCAAAGACAGGGTGTTGCTCTGTCACTCAGGCTGCAGTGCAATGGCACAATCATGGCTCACTGCAGCCTCGACCTTCCAGGCTCAAACAATCCTCCTCCTGCCTCAGCCTCCCAACCTGAGACTACTGGCTCCTGTCATCATGCCCAGCTAATGTTTGTAGACATGGGGTTTCATCATGTGGCCAAGACTGGTCTTGAATTCTGAGGCTCAAGCAATCCACCCTCCTGAGCCTCCCAAAGTGCTGGGATTACAGGCGTGAGCCACAGAGCCTGGCCCCAAATAAAAATTTTTAAACATTTAAGTCAGCAACCTATTTTGATAAATGAGTACCCAAGTTATCATTCTGTTAAATGAGGAAAATATTCAAATCCCTGAAAGGTGAGCCACTTGGAATTCAAACAAGGATGGAAGTTAGCTTTAAAACCATGTTAAAGCAAATAATATCCTCTCTCCCTGCCCTAAATCTGACATACAGACTACTTTATATTTTAGTTTTCCCATTAAAAAGTGTATATAACAATTATTTCTGGGCCCTGCACGGTGGCTCATGCCTGTCATCCCAGCACTTTGGGAGGATAAGGTGACCAGCCTGGGTAACAGGGCGAAATCTTATCTCTAGAAAAAAAAAAAAAAAAAAAAAGCCAGCTGTGGCAGCATACGCCTGTAGTCCTAGCTACTTGGGAGGCTGAGGTGGGAGAATCACTTGAGCACAGAAGGTTGAGGCTACAGTGACCTATGATTGTACCACTGCATCACTGCATTCCAGCCTGGGTGACAGAGCAAGACCCTGTCTCGAAAAAAAAAAAACAAAAAAAACAATTACTTCTTAAAAGTAATTATTTGGGGTTGGCATGTTCATATGGACATAAGTATTATTTATATATAAAATTTCCTATCTTCTCAACTCTCAAACTATTTCTCAACATAAAATAAATTAGGACTGGACGTGGTGGCTCATGCCTGTACTCACAGTACTTTGGGAGGCCAAGGTGGGTGGTTTGCTTGAGACTAGGAATTGGAGACCAGGCTGGCCAACATGGCGAAACCCCATCTCTAGTAAAAATACAAAAATTGGCTGGGCATGGTGGCAATTCTTGGGAATCTCCAAGTTCTTGGGAGGGTGAGGCACAAGAACTGCTTGAACCCAGGAGGCAGAGATTGTAGTGAGCAGAGATAGTGCCACTGCACTCAAGCCCGGGTAACAGAGCAAGATTCCATCTCAAAGTAAATAAATAAATAAATGAAATAAAACAAAACAAGTTGGTGTCAAGTAAATAAAATTTGAACCTTTATCAGAAAGCACTGCTGCTACAGCTATGATTAATCCTAATCCTGAAACTTGCTTTAAAACTACATTAAGAAAAAAACCCTACAGCTAGAAATACATACTTTTGAATAATTTTCTCTCAACACTGAAATTATGACAGATACCATAAGAGGCAGTATTTGCCTTTCCCATCAGAGTCAATTTATGACCTGAAAATTAAAGCCTATGCCTTTAATAGCTTGTAGGCATCCTCTTATTTGTTGACAGTCTCTCTCCTATCTCTTAAGACCACAGCAGCAGCAGCTAACACTGAACAAGTGCTCTCCCTGCAGGGTGCTAAGAACCTTTATCTGCAATGATTGCATTTCATCCTCACTACAGGCAATAGGGCAGGTGGGCAAGATCCCTTTCTCTGCAATTTCCCCAGGTCCAAAAGGGTCTGAAGACCAAGAGTTCTCCACCAGTGTGGTGCCAAAACTCATGCTGGAGCCGTTTTCACCTGTGAGGACATTTACAATCTTTCTTTGTCCTACTTAGTATGGAATTAGTGTATTTAAATACAAGGTACTTCCCCAGATCCCACGTGACTTCTCTTAATAAGCTAAAATTCCAAAATACATCTAGCTCTAAGGGTTCCAACTGTGAACCCAACTTCCTCTTCACTTTCCAGTGGAGGGACTGGGCCCTGAGGAAAGCTAAAACTGAAGGTACACAGATCCAGTCTTCTACCTTCCGTAAGTAAAGAGGGTAGGAATCCATTCAAAAGGCCAGTAAAATGGCCTCAGACTTTAGATTATGTGGTCTATGAGTACTGCAACTGCAAATGACAGACAGCCTACCACATCCTCACATGAATACAGCCAGCAAGCTGCTGAGCAAAACATCAGGCGAGAGGGGCCCTGGTTCTTCCCTAGGAAGGAAAGACGATCCATCAAACCCTCTGAGATCAATGGCAGTCTCTGCTCTAACTCTATCCCCTGTACCAGGTTAACATTCTGTTCCATAATACTGTCTGCAAAGATCACAGAGCAGGCCCTTCTTCAGCTAATTGTGGTTCCTATTATGAATAAATTCTTATCTGGCTTATAAAGTGTTCTCTTGGTACAATTTAACAGCTGGATTAGCTCTGTCTGAATGAAAAAATAAAATATGCCCTATATGGCCCTATAAAGCTGTCAGGTCATGGATTTCTTTCTTTCTCTGTTTATTGGAGATGGGTGGGGGAGTAGTCTCACCCAGGCTGCAGGTCAGCGGCACAATCACTGCTCACTGTGGCCTCAGCCTCCCAGGCTCAATCGATCCTCCTCCTTTAGTCTCCTGAGTGAGTAGCTGGGACTATAGCCACATGCCACCAGGCCCAGCTAATTTTGGGGGTTTTTTTTGGAGAGACAGGGTCTCACTATGTTATTCATGCTGGTCTTGAATTCCTGAGCTTAAGCAATCCTCCCACTTTGAGACCATAAATTTCTAGTTCTGTAGCAGCTCTCCTTGCTTTTAGCAGCCAATCTCTCTTGTGACAGGCATGGTGGCATGCACCTATAGTCACAGCTACTTGGGAGGCTGAGGTGAGGTGGGAGGATCACTTGAGCACAGGAGGTAGAGGCTGCAGTGAGCTATGACTGTGCCACTGTACTCCAGCCTGGGCAACATAGTGAGACCTTGTCTTAACAAAACAAAACAAAAAAGCTTATCAGTTTTATTCTTTTCCTTCTTTTTCCTTTTTAAAAAAGAAGTATAGGCCAGGTGCAGTGGCTCACACCTGTAATCTCAGCACTTTGGGAGGTCAGGGTGGGTGGATGACAAGGTCAGGAGATTGAGACCATCCTGGCCAACGTGGTGAAACCCCGTCTCTACCAAAACACACAAAAAAACTAGCCAGGCACGGTGGAGTGCATCTGTAGTCCCAGCTACTCGGGAGGCTGAGGAAGGGGAATTGCTTTAACCCAGGAGGTAGAAGTTGCAGTGAGCTGAGATCATGCCACTGCACTCCAGCCTGGTGAGCAAGACTTCGTCTCAAAGAAAAAAAAAGTATAGGGATATACGGCCAGGCGTGGTGGCTCACACCTGTAATTCCAGTACCTTGAGAGGCCAAGGCAGCCTCATCAAGAGGTCAGGACTTTGAGACTAGCCTGGCCAACATGGTGAAACCCCATCTCTACTAAAAATACAAAAAAATTGGCCAGGCGCGTAATCCCAGCTTCTAAAGAGGCTAAGGCAGGAGAATCACTTGAATCCGTAAGATGGAGGTTGTGCCATTGCACTTCAACCTGGAAGACACAGCAAGACTCGTCTCAATAAAAAAAATAAATAAAGAGTATATGGTTTTTTGAGTCAGGATCTTGCTCAGATGCCCAGGCTGAAGTGGACATGAAGTGGAGTGCCATGATCATAGCTCACTGCAACGTTGAACTGGGCTCCAGCAAACCTTCCCAAATCTTGCTGTCATCCAGGCAGGAGCATAGTGGCACAATCATGGCTCACTGCAGCCTCTACCTTCCATAGCTAATTTTTTTATTTTTAATTTTAATCGAGCAAGGGTCTTGCTGTGTTGCCCAGGCTCATCTTCAAACTCCTGGCCTCAAGCAATCTTCCTGCCTTGGCCTCCCAAAATGTTGAGATTACAGGTGTGAGTGTGAGCCACCATGTCTGATTTAAAAAAAAAAAAAAAAAAAGAGTCTTATTTGAAGGAATAACACAGAGTGACAAAAATTAAAGGATAACTGGAATTAGGTTAGGTTGCCTCCACCCTCTACTATCGGAGCCAAGAGTAGGGTGACAACCATCCTCCCAGATGGTCTCCAATAATTCTTGTCTGTTGACTTTATGTAGTCCCCTCCCAACTAATAGAGGTAGCCAGTGCAACCAATAAGGTTTATGAAATGACTAAGTGTGACTTCTGGGATTTCCGCCTTGCTCTTTCTGGGGCCATTCACTCTGGGGAAAACCAGCCACCATGTTGTGAGGAGCCTCCAGCAGCCAGCCCTAAGAAAATCCATGGAGCAAAGAACTAACGACCAGCATCAGTCTGCCAGGCATGGGAGTTTAAGTTTAAAACCTCCAGTCTCAGTCAAGCTTTCAGATGACTATAGTCCAGGCAGAGATCCTAAATATAATCTCCTGATATTTCAAGCTAGAACCACCCAGCAGAATCACCTGTCCATTCCAAACATAAAGAAGTGGTGTGGACCGGGCACGGTGGCTCAGGCCTGTAATCACAGCACTTTGGGAGGCCGAGGCGGGTGGATCATGAGGTCAAGAGATGGAGACCATCCTGGCCAACATGGTGAAACCCCATCTCTACTAAAAATACAAAAATTAGCTGGGTGTGGTGGCGTGTGCCTGTAGTCCCAGCTACTCAGGAGGCTGAGGCAGGAGAATTGCTTGAACCCAGGAGGTGGAAGTTGCAGTGAGCCGAGATTGTGCCACTGCACTCCAGCCTGGCGCCTGGTGACAAAGTGAGACTCTGTCTCAAAAAAAAAAAAAAGCGGTGTGTACAACCAAATTTAAGATAGTAAAGTAGAAAAAACAAAAGAAGCGGTGTGAGATAATAAATGTTTCTATGACAAGTGTGGTAGCATTTCAGATCTTTGTTTGAGGGCCTGATTCTGGATATTTCTGTCCTGTTTTCCACTGCTCTCCTCTTCCCCTCTCAGTGCTAGAGATGCAGCTTCCTTTCCCACGTATAAATAAAGTAACTGGGTTCAAAAGCAGGGCGAGTTAATAAAAAGATTTATCAATCACCCTTTATGTTTAATAATGGTAACATTTGCTTCAAGGCCTCTAAGTCTTACCCTTAAAGCTAGTAGCTGTCTGAAATGTGACTTAAAATGCCTTTGACTTTAAGTGCCCTACTTCTTAAAAGGGAAAGACTCAATATCATAAATGACTGTGGTTTTCAGTGTATCAAGATCAAGGAAAAAACTAATCATTACTTTATTAGCTTGGCTCTCTCAGTGCTCACCCAAACCCAGAACTACAGACAAGATCTAGAGCTGAAATTCAGGTTTGGTCATTAGTGACCTCTCTAACTCAGTTTCCTCATCTATTACTCATTCATCTTCTGGTTCCTTCAGCAGTCCTGTTTTGTTTTGTTTGTTTGTTTGTTTTTGAGATGGATCTCACTCTGTGGCTCAGGCTGGAGTGCACTGGCGTGATCTTGACTCACTGCAACCTCTTGTCTCCCAGGTTCAAGAGATTCTCCTGCCTCAGCCTCCTGAGTAGCTAGGATTACAGGTATGTGCCACTATGTCCGGTTACTTTTTTATTTTTAGTAGAGGCTGGGTTTCACCATGTTGTTCCAGCTGGTCTCAAACTCCTGACCTCGTGATCCTCCTGCCTCCACCTCCCAAAGCAATGGGATAACAGGCGTGAGCCACCATGCCCAGCAGCAGTCCTGTTTTTAAAAACCATGAAACTGTCTTCCAGTTCTTGCTAAGATTTGGTGAGAATTATACCCCAATCTCAGAGATGTCAGTAACAACCCTACAGTCTTTCGTCCTGAACTAGGAAAGCTACAGAAAGACTCAGGCAGAGCTGCCCAACCTGGGCACTACTGATGTTTGAGGCCAGATACTTCTTTGCGGTGGGTGTCACTGTGTATACTGTAGCATAGCAGCATCCCAGGCCTTTATCCACAAGATGCCAGCAGCACTCCCACGCCCATATGTGACAACCAAAAATGTCTCCAGACATTGCTAGATGTCTTCTGGGGGCAGAATCACCCCTGGATGAGAACCCACCGGGCTGGGGGATGGTTGCTACAAAAACTGGGGTTCTTGGCAAGCTCTGACCTCGGAGCCAGGGTAGAGGAGACTGGCACTACCTTCTTGCCTATGCCAACATAAAGCCGCCTACAAAGAAGTCCCAGAGACTTACATTCTATTCTCAGTTCTCAACATTCCAAGTAGAATACAGGTTACCTGGCAACCACACATGCTCAAGCCTATAATACCCTCACCAAGTGGGGAGGCCTTGTCTAAGTCTCCTGGCTGAGAAGCCTTATCAGTCACTGCCAAGGCAAACCCAGGAGGCCTTGGCAATTCACCCAGTGATGATTTACAGTCACCCAAGCATATCACAGAGGGAGTGGGGAGAGGGGCTCTCGATCTTATCACCCACTCTCCCTTTCAAATCCCACTGGCCTCCCTGGCTGATCTAACAAGCCAGGCAGTTTCTGGCCATAAGCCTTTTACAGTAAATGCTCCCTGGGTCAGGTAACTTTATTCCCTCAGTCCATTTAGGTCTCTGCTCAAATGTCACCTCTTTACCGAGGGCCCCAAACACTCCATGTAGTGGAGCGACCCCCGCAGGATACTGACCACCCTAAAATGTATCTCCTACACTTGCTTATTTGCCTATTAAGATCCGTCCTTGCCTCTAAGCTGCTTGAGGAATTCTTGTCAGTATTCCCAGTGCTCAGTCTGCACCGGACACGGTTCATTTGACAGACGTAGAGGGAATTAATGTGGAACCTTGTCATTCCTTGCAGTTCAGCCCCTCAGGGCCCAGGGCCCAAGGCCCAAGGCTCCCCGCTCAGCCCAAACCCTTCAAATGTTTACTTATCCCCCTAGGGCCTGGCGCCTCTCCCAGTTCTGAAATAGACAAAAGGGGGTGGTGGGTGGGATCGGGGTTGGGGTGCAGAGCTGCGGCGTTTTTGCAGAGAAACTGCGCGGGGGAGGACGCGACAATGGCAACGGCAGCCGAGCCTACTGACTGCTCGCAAGGACCAAGACCTGAGAAAGGGAGACCTAAGGCGTCGAGGTCCGAGGAGCGCAGGCCAGGGACGGAGATGGTGCGGGAGGACACCTCGTGCGCTGAGGCCCCGGACCCACAGACAAAGGCGACAGGAGCCAAGATCTCAGGCGGCTGGGAGCCGGGACGCCGACTGCAGGTACAGAGAGCTGAGGCCACGAAGCATGAGGGGAGCGACCCTGAGGAGACGGGCCAGCGGCGCCATTTTGTGACTGCAGGGAGGGCAGTGACAGGGCCCCAGGGGAGGTGCGGGCGAGCCTGGTGTGGCATCCGTCTGTACTTGTCCTGTCCCCACGCAGAGCCCGACCCCATCCTGCCAGGCTCACCTGTGTAGCTCATGGTGGCGGCCAACACAACATCCGAGGACGCCGACCGCTGATGCTCTGCACATCCAACCCTGCGATAGCGGCTGCTAACCCCAGGGGCCCTTCCACAGACAACACACACACAAGCCACACACCAGAAGCCCCGCCTCCCGACCGCATTGGCTCATGACGGCCTCGGCTTCACATCTATTGGACGGAACCACTGTCTATCTCAGCGCCTCCTCATGTCAGTGGCTGGAAACTGCTGCCAATCTCTTAAGAGCCCCGCCTTGACCCCACCTCCTTCTGTTATCCTAAGCCCTCAGTGATTGGCCTATACAAGCCGGCAGAGAGGTGGGGTCCTATAGAGTTTGAGGGGGCAGGGCTGTGCACTACGGAAAGGCCCAAGGCTCAAGCGCGGCGAGCTGAAGGAGCGTCCGTACCCTGGAGACCCGCCAGAGGGAGCCGGGTCTACGGCTCAGGGCTTGGCTGGGATCCAGCTCCACCACAGAAGAACTGGGTAAACCTAGCTAAGTCTCTTGACTTCTCTGGCCTTCAGTTCCAAAACGATCATAGCAAACCCATGCTGGACTGAGAAAACTAAAACTCAGCGCCAAACAAGATGCTGAACACACGTTCCAACGTTACGTGACAAAATGTGTGTGAAGAAATAATTCCGGCGCCATTGCACTGAATAAATGTTATTATTCGTCACAAAACAATAATCTATTTATATGGCATATGCTTATATGTGTAATAATTCTGTTTGTATTGTGCGTCATTCAAATGCTCCTTCAAACCTGCAAAAAGCTTTTAATCCCCACTTAAAACTGAAGCTTGGAACTCATTATTTGCTCAAGGTCCTTGACAGTTACGTGTTAAAATGGAGACTTTGCTTCTAAAACACTCTGGACTCCAGAGATCCTGAAACAGTGCAGCCGGGCACCAGTCGTGTTCTCAGCCTGTTTCCTGGGCATGTGGAAACCTCTGCCAGGGACATCTCATAATTTCTAGAGATGACAGAGGTAAACTGAAGAGAGTACTAAACGTGTGTTTGTGAAAACTCAAGTTGCTCAATTATGACTTCTACACTTCTTCCTCTAAGTTTTTTTTTTTTTTTTTTAAGGTATGCTGTTGCTTCTCGATATTGTCGATTTTTTTAGGTGTAATGGTGGCCCTTAAAACGTTCAGAGAAACATACTGAAATACTAAGAAGTTAACTGATCTTATGGCCGGGATGTGCTTCACACAATTCAGACAGGTAGAGAGAAAAGAGGAAAGCAAGGAGCTGTAAGATAAATCTCTCACAGCTTAAGACACTGGTCATGGGTTGGTAATTGATGGATAAGGGTTCATTTTACTATTTGTGCTACTTTTGTATAGCTGGAGTTCTCCATGATAAAATGGTTTAATAAAACTCCTCCAACGCAAATGAGGCTTATGCAGAGCTTGCTGCTATGTGGAACAAAGCCACTTACGCATTCTGAGCAACTCCACACATGAAGCAGAGCTCTGATGGGTAAGCACTCTGACTTTGGGGTTCATCTCCCTCAGCCTCAGGGATACCTGCCTGTCTTCCCAACTAAGGCAGGGCCCCAGGACATGACTTCTGCGTCCTACAGGTTTGTTCCTTCATGGCACTTGCCACAGCCATCACTGTACCCTGATTTGATTTCGTTAACATCAAACACCTTCACGGAGAGCATCGGTCAAAGGTTCAAACTTTGCTGCCTGAGGTGCATTAAAATGGCTTGAGCAGAGAAGAGTAATGCTCAGAAAGTTTTAGGAAAACATCCCCCTGTGCTAAGAGCTGGAGGTGACTTTCAAGGACACACATGACCTGCACTTCACAGCATGATGGGTGGAAAGGAACTTGCCATGTGACTTTATAAGCTCTCAAATCATTTGAATTTTTTTTGTTACATATAGCCTATACCACTTTTATATTTTAAAAACTGACTTATGGGCCAGGCAGTGGCTCACACGGGCAATCCTAGCACTTTAGAGGGCTGAGGTGGTAGAACGCTTGAGGCTCATGAGTTTAAGACCAACCTGGGAAATATGGCGAAACCTGCGTCTCTACAAAAATTATAGAATTCAGCCGGGCGTGATGGTGCATGCCTGTGATCCCAGCTACCTGGATGGCTGAGGCAGGAGAATCGCTTGAACCCAGGAGGCAGAAGCTGCAGTGAGCCGAGGTCCCACCACTGCACTCCAGCTCGGGCAACAGAATGAGACCGTCTCAAAAAATAAAAACTAATGAAAAGTTGAAAGAGGAAGATACACCTTTGAGTCAGCTCACAAGATGCTCTCCCTGCTCCCTAAGTCTTGGATACACCCATCCCCCCACAGCACAGAATGGACAGAAATGGTTGCGACCTTCTGCCACCAGGCGAGATGTGCATCCTGACCCCACAGGAGCAGATGTGTAGGCCAAGACCACCCTTGTGGGCTTGTCATTTAACCCTCCTTCCCAGGCAGGGGTATGGCGGGAGGGCCTGGAAAGCAGGGCTCGGGGTAGAGGTGGCCCCTGCTCTTCACATGCCATGAAGTCATTCCTACTTTCCTGCACTTGGCCGTTTAGTGAAAACGGTGAGCTGAAAAACCACATGCAATAAACAAGAAGGAGCAGCCAACGAAATCTCTTAAAATCTCAGAAATGTTCAATAAACATTTGCAGTGAGAGAAAATAAATAACATCGCAAAGAGCCAGCAGCTCCTTCTTTCCCCGCATTTCTTGAGTCAGGGGTGCACGTGTCTTAACTAGAAGTCATGTCTTGAAAGCAGGCCAGTTCCAGCTCTCTACACCCCTCCTGGCCCCCCCAAATGCTCCCAGTGGGTCCCTGACACCCTCGATGGTAGCTGCTGCCCTTGATAAGCTCCTCTAGCCTCAATTGCTTCTTGATCCTGGCTCCCTTCCCAGACAGGCTACCCTGAACCCTGGTTCATCTGCTCACTGGAGCCACTTGGCCAGCCAGCCAGAGCCCCCACACCAGCCATGGCATTAAAGGAACTTGGGCTCATCCCCTGCTGCATCTGGTCGGCTTGGCAGCCAATGGGAAAACCCAGGGCCTCCATGGCTCTGCACAGAGGAGGCCCCGATCCCAGTCCCGGCTGCCAGCCAATGCCAGCCTGTCCACTCGACAGAAAAACACACGCTGGCCGCCTGCCCCGGGGCGTTTCCAGAAGAGAAATTTAATCTAATTTACATACTTCTAGGTACATCAATAACCAAAATGTGGCCACTGAAAAAAGTTAAAAGGTCAATCAGCTCCCGGCTTCTAGCTGGCCCAGGATTGCAAAATAAAAAGATTCACGTTCCTTATTCTCTACACAAAACGCGTTTTTAAAAAAGTGAAAGGTCTAGGGAGCTATACATAGAAAGCAACAGTGAAAAGGGGGAGGGGGCAGGAGTGGGGGAGGAGAGTCCCACCCCCCCACCCCACCCTCCAGGGCCCCAGAGCCCCTGAGGCTCTTTGGGGGGCCTTGACATGGCAGGAGGCAGCTGTCAGCTCTGAGCTCTTCCCAGCTGGGAAGGCCCCTCTGGGGGGCAGCCCACAAGGATTTCCGTGGCATTGTGGGCTCAGTGAAGGGCCCCCAGGCCCTAGCAGGCCCCACAGAGGGAGCATGGCTTCCCCTGAGCAAGCACCGTGGCATGATGTGGTCGTTTGACCCGGGAACTGGGGGTCCGGTGCAGATCCCGGGTCTCACGAGGTGCGTGTGTGTGTTCGCATGTACATGCGTGTGAGAGGATATTCATGGGGGCGAGAATGAACCAGAACAGGGGTCTTTGGGGTCTTTGCAAATGGCCACGGATGGCAGACATCGCCCTGCCTGGCTGCTAGACGGAGTGCTGTCTTCCCCTGTGACCAAATCGGCTGCTACCAGAGACCTGGTTGCTGCCCCTGCTGGACCAGGTGGGCATGGGCTGAAGGAAGACACCCTGTGGCCCCAGAGTCCTTGGGCTGGGGGAAGGGCGGCTAGCTGGCTCCCGGCGCCCTGGCTGTAGTGTGCCCGGCCCCCAAGGGGCGCCGGTTTGAGGTTTTGGCTTGCTCCTTTGGAAACGGAAAGAAAGAGGAAGAGGGACGAGGGCACAGAGGAGAAGAAGAGGAGACAGAGGTGGCACAAGAGGGGATCTGGAATGCTTTTGTGTTAGGGAGCCTCTGCCGCCGCTGTCTGTGCCTGCGGGGCCTGGGACTCCTCAGGTGGGGGGTCCGCTTTGGAGAAGTTCATCTCCAGGATGTGCCGTTGTAAGTGCCGCACCCACTCTTCCTGGATGGAGAGGGGCCCCTGGAATTCCACTTCACAGAACCTGCGTGGGGGAAGAGAGAGAGGGAGTGGCCAGGGCTGTGAGGAGAGGTGGAAGCATAGCCTTGCCCATGCCCCTGGCACACCTGCTGCTATTCGGTGTGGACAGAGCAAGCCCAGAAGGTGGGGGAAGAGGGACCCAGAGGTCAGGTGTTTCCCATGAACAGCCACCTCCACTCACCATGGGGTCAGGCAAGGTCTCACAGAGACCCCTGCCTCTATGCTCAGGAAGTCACTGGTGCCGGGTAAGGGCTACCGGGCTTCCAGGTCCCCCTGCCATCTGACAGATACATAGAATCTGAGACAGTAGAGGGCTCAGAGAAGCAAATCTTACCCAATGAGCCAGGCCCCCCTCCTCTTCCTGTCTTCCTGGCACCTAAAGAGGCCTCACAGCACAGAGGCCTGGAGCCCAAGCTCCGTGGCTCAAAACTTGGGTTTGACTCTGACTTCTGACTTGGCCTGTGTGGTCTCAGGCGAGTCACCTCACGTCTCAGGGTCCCAGTTCTCTCCTCTCCAATGTACTTGTGGACTCTGGTAAGAATTAACTAAGATCTACTTTTTTCTTGAGCCAGACACTAGTTAAGTGCTTACTTACCATGTGCCAGGCAGTTCTGAGTGCTTTATAAATATTAAATTCACTTATTCCTCGTAACAAATCTGTAAGGTAGGTTTGTTATCACCCGCTTTTATGAGTGGGAAAATTGAGGTAAGGAGCAGGTAAGTCCTTCTCTGAGGTCACTAAGCTGGTAAGTGGTAGAGTTGGGATTTGAACCCAGGTCTCCCAGGCTACCAAGCTCAGGGTGTCAGCCTTTAGCCTGGGCTCCACCACACCCAAGGGCAGACACTGAGGTGACACCTCCCAGCTCCCACCAGACTGTGTCCTGTTCCAAGGCTCTGAGTGACCAAGGCCCACTCTAGTGGTCTCCCTCCCTCCCCCAGG